GAAGAGATCTGTGTGGATCGAAGAGATCTGTGTGACGCCCTTTCGGGAAGCCTGCACAGAGAGAGGGGTGATGTTCTTTGTTGTGGCTTCCTGCAAGACGACCGAGCTGGCGTTTGGCTCTGTTTAGCAGCCGCCACAAGAGACCAGCTTGTTCGGGTGAATGAAAAAAGAGACAAGCCCAGAAGCCTTGGGTATGGGAGGAGAAGGACCCCAGAGTGGTGAGCACGACGGCTCATTTCTTCGGCATCCCCCTCGCCTGTGCCTGGGGTCCACCCCACACTCATAACCTGGCGTCTTAACCTGTTTGGTGGGCTGGCAGCGTAGCCGACGTCGCGAAAGGAGTCGAAGGGGGCTCCGCTTACTCACCGCCTTAAACCCCAAGAAAAGAAGGCTGGCCGTGCGGAAGGAAGGCTGGCTTTCTAGCTGCTCAGGCTAAGCCAGGGGTCCAAAGTCTGCCTCTGGCTGTTTTCTGCTCAGTTGGCGAGTGGGTTGCACACAATGGCCACATTCAGCCGATGACTTCCGGCTTTGCCTCAGAGGCTGGCCGGTAGCATCTTGGCCAGAGCAATCCTGCCACGCGCGCTCTCTCTGTCTCTCTCACTGTCTCAGAGCAGTGTTGACTTGTGGTTGCTGGTGTGAAACAAGGCAGGCGAGCAGTCCAAACCGAGAGGAGAGGTGAGAGGAGGGGCTGTCAGCAACTAAAGAACAGGACAACTTCTAAGGGCACCAGGGTTGCAGGTAAGGACGCCCCGAAAGATGATGGAACATTTCTCTTGAAGGGTTTGGATTGGAATTCTCCCGCCCTCTCTCCCTCCACCCCCCCCCCCAGCCTCTTTCCAGGAAGCCCTTCGTTGGGCTGGAAACCATCTCAAGAAGAGATGGATGTTGTTCTGCCATTTGCAGCAACCGGGGTGGGGGACCGACACCATAGCTGTGTCCTCGGGCATTTTCCGGAACATTCCAGAAACAAGGGCCCACCCCTTCCACCTCCTTGGCGAGCCAAGGAGCCTTTTCAGAGTCAAAAGAGGTTGCCAAGGGCCCAGAACTGAGCTCTGAAGCTGGTCCCCACCAGATTGGCCTCCACTTGTACCTGTATCTCCTTGCTGGGCCCGCAGATGACCCAGTTTTTGAAAACCTCTCTGGCATCGACCGAGCTGCAAACAGAACGAAGTTTGGCTCCAAGAGGCACCCTTTAAAAAAAAAAAAAAAAAAATCTTTCAAATAATAATTCTTTTCAAATGTTTTGTGGACCACCCAAAACAGTTTTCTAATTCTTTTTTTTTTTCCCCAGTTTGCTTCCTCTCCCACCCCCCTTCCTTTCCTTTCCTGGGTATAGCTGTTCAGTCACATTTTACTTGGTTGTTCCATGTTACTCTTGTCTTTTCATATCACTGCCGATTCTTACTTTTTAGCCTCTGAAGCTTCTGGTTCTTATTAACTAACCAGCTTTGATCCTGCCCATCTCGGATTCTCATCGGGGAAGTAGGTTTGTCTCTTTCAACCCTGCGTGAGGCTCGGCTTTCGTAATGATGATGGTACTCAAGAGATGTGCTTCTTGCGGTAGCTGCAAAAGACATTTCCAGGAATCTCTTCGGACAAGGTCTGTTCTCAGCATCTGTAACTGCGCTTAGCCTGGGAGACAGAACTGCAGACTGCTGCAGAGGGAAGACACAAGGGTGACGGTATGAAGGAAGAATGGCGGGAACCCATTTTTTTTTGTTTCTTTATTTCATTTGAGCTTGATGGATTGCTGATGCAGAGGAACAGAAAGTTGGCTTCCTAAAACACATTTGGGGTCGTTTGGTCTATCTCAGGGGTGGGCAACTTTTGGCTCTTTTATGACTCGTGGATTTCAACTCCCAGAATTCCTGAGCCACCATGGGGGAACTATGGCCCCCTCATGACTCGTGGACTTCAACTCCCAGAATTCCTGAGCCAGTATGGCTCAGCATGGAAACCTCTCCCTTTCCCCTCAGCATGGCTGGCTCAGGAATTCTGGGAGTTGAAGTCCACGAGTCATAAAAGAGCCAAGGTTGCCTACCCCTGGTCTATTTGTTTCTAGCCACCTGAACTTTCCCCCCACCAATCTTTGGGACTTGAAATCAGTAGAGACCTGAATTGCTCTGCATGCAAACTGTCTTCCAGATGTCCAAATCATTCTTTATTTTTATATACTTGCCGGTCTGAAGATTATATGATTCAAAATCCACTCCAGATTAGCATGAATATGGGACCAGGTTGCAAATCCCTTGGCCACCATCCACATCTGGGTTTGGAGAAATGTTCTCTTTGAAAGCAACAGTATGTTTGCTTCCATCTTGAATATTTAAGGGGAGAAATGGGACCAGCTCTGGTTGAAGCTTCTCCCGGGTTTCAGAAGAAGGAGCCACCATCCTTGCTCTGCCTTCTGCTTTGACCAAAGTGAGAGAACAATGGACTACGAGAAGAAGACAGCTAACGTAAGGTGAGATATGCTTTTTTCTCTACCAGCCACTGAGAATTAAAACGATGCTTCCTGCTTTTATTCTTGGCTCCCCAGCTTTGAAGCATGTTGTATCTCATTTTGCTGCTTCTTTTCTTTCTCAGGTTAAGGACATTCCCGTGGAAGATACTCGTTCCTTCCTTTCCTAGTCCCCGTTATCTCGACTCTGCATTGCTTCTTTTCTCCTTCCATTCCGGCATCTTCTCTGTCCCTGAGACCCTTAACCTGTGAGGAAGCCCAGAGGTCACAGGTGAGGGCCTTGGGAACTGAGTGGGCTGTCCCCTGCCAACAGAATTACGGTTTGGTTCCACCAGAATGGAGTCAAATGGATGCAGTAGACAAAAAAAGGAGTCCCTTTGTGAAAATGTACGGCTCTTCTAATCCATGAGACTTACGAAGATAAGAATTGTTTTGCTAGAAGGGGAAAGGTGAGCAAAATGTCACACACACACACAAGTTAATGACATCCAGAACAAGCCACGACATTTTCACATGAATGGTGCAAAACGCACAGTTCGTGTAATTTGCATGAGGAGCACATCATGGATACAACGTCCTTGCCCTACCCGTGGCAAATGCCGTGTCCCCTATGATAGCCTCTGCCAAGCTGGTGGACTTCCAAGAGGGTTTGGAATGCCACCTCCCATATTCCCTAACTATGGCCATGCTAGAGGACTCTTGAGAGTGATATGGGGAAGGGATCAATCTGGGAAAATCTGGTCGCTCAGAATAGTAATAGGTGATCCCTTCTCCTTTGTGGTTCCCTCAGAGATAGCTATAATCCTACTACCAGACAGCGGGTCCCATTCCTGGCCAACCTGGCTAAAGATTACACAGATGGAAGTAAAAATCCCTTAATAATAGGACAGACCCCACATCTGCAGCCAGGCTTTCATTGGAAAGAGTCTGGAAAGGGGCATTCTGGGGCAGGTGGAATCTCAGATTTTAGCTCTGCTTAGCTACAGAAAGCTCATTTGGTGACTTCTGGCCAACGATTCTCCCTCAGCCCTATCAACCTTACATGCTGCTAGTGTGGGGAAAGAATAGAGAAAACGTGACATACGCATCCATATTCGTGTCAATATTTATAGCCATGGAAGTCAAAAGAGAGGATGTATCCATATCAATGTTTCTCAACCTTGGTGCCTTGAAGATGGGTGGACTTCAACTCCCAGAATTCCCCATCCACCCATCTTCAAGTTGCCAAACTTCAGAAGCTCTGATCTTTATATTGGCTAAGAGTTGACAACAACATGACTGGCACGTGATCGGTAGGTGGACAGGCTAATTATTTTGAAAAGCCCGTTTGGGAGGGTTGGTTAAGTTGTTGACTGGCACCAGGGAGACCCAGATTTAATTGCCCCATCAGTCTCCCTGGGGAACTTGGAGCAGGTCACAAAACTCAGCCAAACTTACAAGCAGCATCTACATGTAAAACAGCTAAATTTGTGGGACATCCAGAGGAGACCTACCACAAGAAGCAGCTACACTTGCCAAGGATGCCTGTGACAATGCCCCAGTAGTAAAAGTCACCCTTTAAGCTGAACTAGGTGAAGGAAGCAACTTCTCTACGTAAGGGAGCGGGTTTGACAGATGCCTCTGTGCCTTAATGGCTCTTTGACGGGAGACACCATCAAATGCCTGATCCCTTCTTCATAGCAAGTCTCCGGTTTCCATTGTCCCCTAGAAGTGCACACGATTGTGAAAAGATTTCAAAGAGCATTCTTCTCCATTAAAGAACATATTGTCAAGGTTTGTGTGCAGGTGGTTTTTTTTTTTTTTTTTTTTTTTTGCGGTAACCCATCACGTTCCAAAGCCTTTGTGCAGGTAATGGAACATTTGCAATATAAAACAAAAAGGAACATGCATTTCATTTCTGGCAGAGACATCTGTTATTTCTTTTTCCACGGTCTTAAAACAGAGCCGTCGCTGTTGTCTCCGGGCATGAGAGCTGTTTGCAAAACCTAGACGTCAAAGATGGTGTTTGCAAAGAATTTGAAAAATGTATCATTAGAACACAGAATTACGGGGCTGGAAGGGATCTGTGAGATATTCTAGTCCAGCCCCCTGCTCAAGGCAGCACACATTATATCATCCCAGTCAAATGGTTGGTGGCCCAGTCTATTTTTCAAAAACCTTCAGTGATGGAGCACCCACAACTCCAGGAGGCAAACTATTCCACTGATTAATTCTTCTCACGGTCAGAAAATTTCTCCTTCCTTCTAGATTGGCTTTCTCTTTAGATTCCACCTGTTATTCTGCCCTTAGGTGATTTCTTGGGATTAAGGTGGTGGTGGTTTTATTGGACTTGTAAACCACTTTGAGGAGCTTTGCAAGATGCAGTAAAAAAAAAAAATCCATAAGTAAGATTTGCTAACCGAATGGAATAGTTCATTGTTTCTCAACCTTGGTTATGTTAAGCAGTGTGGACATCAACTCCCAGAATTCCCCAGCCAGCTATGCTGGCTGGGGAATTCTGGGAGTTGAAGTCCACATCTCTCAAAATGGCCAAGGTTGAGAAACATCAGAATAGCTCACTCAGGTTTGCAGAGGATGTGAAGAACCTCACCACCAGGAGCAGTTGGCTGTTACAAAGCCAGTCATTTTTCCAACCTCAAAGGGATAGTCAGACATACAGTATGAGAGTCATGCCTGTTACTTAGGGACCACAGAAGAGTCTATACAGTTGTCTCAAACAAGAGTTGTTGGTGGGATGGGTTGACATTGACCATCAGTGAATCTGAGACCTCCTTTCTAAGTGCAACATTCCCCAGGAGTGTTAGTCCACAACACCCATAAGGCTAACCCATGCATCCATTGGCTGATCGAAATAATGACCCACGAAGGTCTTCAGGCAAGTCTCTAGGGCAGCGTTGTTCAACTAGTGATGCATAGACCAACTGAGACACAATTCTCATCTCCACGTCAGGAAAGGGCCTACCAGAGGAGAGAGTATATTTTCCAGAGTAGACTCATTTTGGCAGAGGATTGAACATCTCAATCACGCATTTCCTGGAATCGAAACAGCCTCAGCAGGATTTGAGCGTAGTGGAGCTCTCATTTAATAGAGAGAGTTTTTATTTAACAACCGCAATTTGGACCAGCAGCTCAGTTGTTCAATGAAGCGGGATAAGTTAAACCACAAGTGAGCTCACAAACTTACTTTAGCCTTCCTTTACAGATCTGCTGCAAGGTTGTAAACACTAGGATTGGTCATAAAGTTACTTTTTTTTCATCACTGTCATAATTGTAAATGGTTGCTAAATAAGGACTTGCCTGTATCTGTTTGGGCTTACTGAAAGTTGGCTGTCTTAGATGCCAGTTCAGCTCCCTTTAGGACAGGAATGGAATGGAATAATCTTTATTGGCCTTGTGTGATTGGACACACAAGGAATTTGTCTCCAGTGCACTAGCTCTCAGTGTACATACAAACCACAAAGTGACAAGTCATAGATAATAAATCATAAGATACAATCAATCATACCAAGAGGAGAAGGTAGTAGGAAAGATGAGAGAGAAAGATGACAATTCGTTCTCTGTTATTTTATAATTACCAGTTATATTAGGGCAGCATAGTTACATGACCTTAGAATTGACTTTAAATATATAAGAATACCTGTAAAGGTATGTCTTTTTTTCTTCTTGGGACGCAGGTTCCTTGACAGAGCAATTCTCATACTATGAAAAGTTGACTTGTCTAGGGCATAATGTTTTGGGCAGCTGTCCAGAGGCGTTTTAGAGTGCCCAACCATGATACTGTATATCTCTAGGCCAGGGATCCCCAACCCCTGGTCCGTGGACCAGTACCTGCCGCAGCATGCCAGCAACTGGTCCGCACAAACAGGCACACAAAACCATGCCCCTTCTGGTCTGCGGAAAAACCTGTCTCCATGCAACCGGTGCCCAAAAGGTTGGGGACCTCTGCTCTAGGCTGCAACAGCAGAAAACAGGACTTTGCAAATACACTTCTACAAACCAAAACCAGCAGAGGGCAACATTCAAAGTGGTTCAGCAGCCAGAAGGATTTAGCGACAGTGACAGGAGGAATCCATGGGATTAGAGTTTGTTTGGAAATGTGTATTTACTTTGAGCATGTGAGCCTGGCCTGTCTCTATACCACCTTTCATATGAAAAGCTCTCCAGACAGTTGGCATCCCCGTCAAAACAAACTTCTAAAAAAGACTGTTGGGTTTTAGCCCAAGTCATTCATAAATATAAAAGGAGGAAAAAGACAGGCCTTAAAAAGGAAATGTGGAGGCCGAAATGACCAAGGTTCGTTGTCCTACCTGGAGTGCAAATGACCAAGGTTCATTGTCCTACCTGGAGTGCAAAGAGAACTTCTCCAATTACACAAGAAGACAACTGCTGGTTGAAAAACGCCACTTCCAGAGGTGAGACTTGGGGGAAAACATACAAGAGCAAAATGAAGACAAAGCTTTTGGATTCTCTGCAGCTATTAATGGAGGACGCCCTTGGATTGTTAACAATTAAGGTTTTTCATATTTCATAATTTAATAGCATTATTGCTCATCAAGTGACACTTCGTGATAACTTCATGATTTAATCTCTCCCAACGTGTGGAGAGACTAAAATCTTTCAAAAAGATCATAGTAAATTGCGTCTGAACGTATTTAGAAGGCATTCCTTCGCAGGGTTTACACTCCCCTGCCCATTTGAATCCACAAAAATCTGGTTCTTGTGCTAAGCCCAGTTTGCCTGAGCTTCATAAACCCTGATTATGAAAAGACAAGCAACGTCAGTCATGTAAATGTAGCCACTGAGCCCTTGATACCTTTATGTGCAGGTATAAGTTGACAACTTGGGATATACACCGTGCTCATTTTTGGATCTGGCAGCATCCAAATTAGATCCAGGAGGGACTTAATCAGCCTTGCTGGGTCAGAAGTCATTTATTTTATTTGTTCATCCCATTTCTACACCACCCATCTCATCCAAGCAACTCTGGGCAGCTTACAGTGAAAAGATGAGTGATCAAACCCTTTTGCTGGCCAACTGCCTGGTCTCATTGTTGCCAGGTGGCAAGGAAAAAATGCAGAGCTTAACCCAAAATGCCCCAGGGAAGATTAACCTGAACTTTAAAACAGAATAAGTCCTTTCCTTCCCAGCGAGTTGAGAACGCTGGGAATTGTAGTCCTAACAATATTATCCCCAAGATGCTTGTTCACGAGGCAACTCCTGAAAAAGCATCTTCGGGATAACTGTGACCTGGATCTTCGACTCTCCAGAGACATTCAACAATACTGGGGGGCATCCGATTGAGGGAGGTGCGGGGGGAGGGAGTTTCCTGCAGCCCAAATTTTGGAGAACTACTTCAAATCTTCCCAGAGGATGCGATTGGTCCTGCCGAAAGAGTAAGTCACCCCCCCCCCCAGCCTTCAAGATTTTGAGACCCCTGGAGTTAAAGTGTTTAAAATTTTGTTTTTTGGATGTATGTATAATTGTTTGATGTTCATTTAAGTTCTATGTTTTTTGTTGTTTCTAACCCTGTATTCAGCTCTGGGAAGTAGGGGGGAGGCGGGTGGGGGGTTGGGAAGGGGGGAGTATTTTATTGTAAAATTTTATAAACTTTCAATAAAAAAAAAAGATTTTGAGACCCGAAACAGTTCTCCATCTACAAATTAGGAAGTTAAATCTCCCTTTCTTTCTTTCTTTCTTTCTTTCTTTCTTTCTTTCTTTCTTTCTTTCTTTCTTTCTTTCTTTCTTTCTTTCTTTCTTTCTTTCTCTCTTCTTCTTCTTTTTTTTTTTTACAAAAATGGTCATGTCCGGCTCGGTTCCTGATGCAATTTCTGGGCAACAATAGAAAAATGGTCTTCCGGGAGTTTTGTGCAACTTCTCCATTTTACACATAACACACGCGCGCGCGCACACACACACACCCCTCGGATGTCTTGGTACTTTCCCATCCGTGCGCTAAGCCGAGCCAAGGTTAAGGAGGTGATCTCACCTCCTGCAGCAAAGACACACCGGGACTTTCCCCCGGCGTGTGACTCCCAAACGGCAGGTGTTTTCAAAGCCAAAGGGATGGTAGGGAAGCCAGTACTGACGGTAAAAACCAGACCGAGTTGGGAATTGTGGAGGACAAAGGCTCCGTCCAGGTAGACGCGGCGGCGGCGGCGGCGGCGGCTGGGTTTGCGAAGCCACATTTTTTTTACAAAAAAATCCCTTCCTGATCGATCGAGTTGTCATGGTTAGGAATACCTCTTGCCGTCTCGGTCCTCCCCCTCCGTCGGTCTAAAAGATATTTCTCTCTTCCCCCCCCCCCAGCTTCGAGTAGAACTGTCTGGTTTCCATAGAGACCGAAGTCTGGCTTTAGAGATCCTGCATCTTTCCCATCCTGGCTTTTCTGCACACATAACGCCTGACTGTCACGATGCCAGGAAAATCCAGAATTACAGGAGCCCAGGGCACCCGCTGCTCATCTTGTGACAGCCGGGAGAATTTCCTCTTTGTTTCAGCAGAGAACACCTAAACACCGTTTATCCGGTGTGTGTGTGTGTGAGTGAGAGAGAGAGACAGAGAGAGACAGAGAGAGAGAGGAAGGAGGAGGAGGAGGGAGAGAGAGAGCGAGAAAGAAAGAAAGAAAAAGAAAGAAAGAAAGAAAGAAAGAAAGAAAGAAAGAAAGAAAGGAGGGAGGGAGGGAGGGAAGGAGGGAAGGAGGGAGGGAGAGAGAAAGAATGAAAGAAAGAACAAAGAAAGAAAGGGAGGGAGTGAGAGAGAGAAGGAGGAGGAGGGAGAGAGAAAGAAAGAAAGAACAAAGAAAGAAAGAGAGGGGGAGAGAGAGGAGGAGGAGGAGGGAGAGAGAGAGAGAGAAAGAAAGAACAAAGAAAGAGAAAGAAAGAAAGAAAGAGAAAGAAAGAAAGAAAAAAAAGAAAGAGAAAGAAAGAGAAGGAGGAAGAGGGAGAGAGAGAGAAGGAGGGAGAGAGGGAGAGAAAGAAAGAAAGAGGGAGGGAGGGAGGGGGAGAGAGAGGAGGAGGGAGAGAGAGAGAAAGAACAAAGAAAAAGAAAGAAAGAAAGAGAAGGAGGAGGGAGAGAGAGAGAGGAGGTAGAGGAGGGAGGGAGGGAGGGAAGGAGGGAGAGAGAGAAAGAAAGAAAGAAAGAAAGAAAGAAAGAAAGAAAGAAAGAAAGAGAGGGAGGGAGGGAGGGAGGGAGAGAGATAGAGGATCTTCAGCCAATATTGCTGTACTCCTAGCAGAGAACAGGTGTGAATTTGGCAATCCCCCAAAGCAAAAGATACCTAACTAATTTCAAAAGAAGGCATTTTAGAAAAAAAAAAAAATCCTCTGATGGGATGGGCAGAGAAGTGGGGGTGGAAGGATAATTTTGCCTAATTTTTCCTTGAGAAAGAGAGCAGTTTCTGTAATTCCCAAAGGCAGGACACCCTCCTTGCACCAATGGCTGCACTGCAATTAAAACATGGCATTCCCTTCTATTATTTTCCCTTAGGACCGAATTAAAAAACACAAAAAAACAGAGGAAGCCAGGAAAGCTGCAAGTACGGTAAGTACAAAAAATGGTCATGTCACTTTTTTCAGTGCCGTTGTAACTTCGAATGGTCACTTATAACAGGCTCGTAAGTCGAGGACTACCTGTACAGGTAGTCCTCAACTTATGACAGTTCATTTAGTGACCATTCAAAGTTACAACAGCACTGAAAAATAGTGACTGATGACCATTTTTCACAGTTGCAACCTTTGCAGCACCCCCGTGATCCTGTGATCAAAATTCATGCCCTTGGCAACATATTGATGGTTATTTATCTATGGTTCATATTTATGACCGTCGCTGTGTCCCACGGTCACGTGATCCCCTTTTGCAACCTTCTGATAAGCAAAGCCAATGGGGGAAGCCCGATTCTCTTAACCGCCAGGTTACTAACTTATCAACTGCAGCGATTCACTTAAAAACATTGGCGAGAAAAGTCTGTAAAATGGGGCAAAAGCCACTTAACAATCGTCTCACTTAACCGACAGAAATTTTGCGTTCAGTTGTTTGCCATAAGTCGAGGACTACCTGAGCTGTCTTCTACAACCCAGGCCAGAGGTAGGCCACCCTGGCTCTTTTATGACTCGTGGATTTCAACTCCCAGAATTCCTGAGCCAGAATGGCTCAACTTGGAAACCTCTCCCTTTCCCCTCAGCATGGCTGGCTCAGGAATTCTGGGAGTTGAAGTCCACAAGTCATAAAAGAGCCAAGGTTGCCTACCTCTGGCCTAGGCCTAGGTCGCTTTATGACTCATGGACTTCAACTCCCAGAATTCCTGAGCCAGAATGGCTCAGCATGGCAACCTCTCCCCTCAGCGTGGCTGGCTCAGGAATTCTGGGAGTTGAAGTCCACGAGTCATAAAAGAGCAAAGGTTTCTTACCCCTGGCCTGGGCCTGTATTTCTCAACCTTGGCCACTCGGAGATGGGTGGCTCAGGAATTCTGGGAGTTGAAGTCCACAAGTCATAAAAGAGTCAAGGTTGCCTACCCCTCAGCCAGGCATTCTTTCTCAACAGCCCACGGCTTGCCATCCCAGGAACTATGAAGTCATAACTGGCCCCTGGGAGCATCCCTATGACCTCATGGAAGAATTCTCGTCTCAGATGTATCTTTCTGAAGACTTCCGTCATGTCCGCTGGAGAGGCCCTGATCCTCTGGTTGTTTTTCTCCTCCAGGGCAACCGCTTGCTTCAACTGCTTCTCCACTGCGGCCCAGCGTCTTCGCATATGCCAATATTTTTGGGGCTATCAGAGTGAGAAGCACCAAACCTGTCTCAGGGCTTTAGAAACTGCCTTCGCTCCCTTGAGCAAGACTCAGGTGGGTAAGTGCTGTGCAGGGAAGGGAGAGGTTGTATCAAGATCATAATTTAACAGCTAACCAGCTTATGTAATGTGAGATGTATGATGTAATGATGGGAATGACTCAGCAGGGTCTGTGTCCCTTTAAGAGCTTTTGTATAGAAGGCTCTGCTGCTGTGTTCTTTCCCTTCTGTTTCCTGCTGTAATTGTGGTTTGTTGGATCCTGCTGCATTAGCATGTGTGTGTATATTGTTCCTAGTGTATAATATTGTAGATAGTGTAAGATAAACCAACATTTAATACAATCGCTTGACCCCTGTCTCTCTCTTTCTGCCCCAGACGTATCTGAGATAGAGAAGCTGAAAGATGCTTTCGGCAGAGTGGTTTTTTATTTAGAAGAGAAGGGCATGGCCAAAGGTAGGTCTGCTCCATAGAACTTGGCTGCATCGGTGAGATTATGTCCCACCCTTTTTGTAAAACCAAGGCCAGCTAAGAGAAATTTTGAGGAAAGTGGGATGACCTATGCAGTGCTTTTTTTGTAAAAAAAAAAAAAAAAGATGCCGGAACTCACACATGTCATACAACTGGCCTTACCTACCCTACAAGGTTCCATCCCAAAAAGATGCCGGAACTCCATTCTGGGCATTCTATGACAAAAAAAAGCCCTGGACCTATGTGGGATATATGGAGCACAGGCGGACACCTTTATGCTACAGAAGTCTCCTGGATTTAGAAGACTTACTTCTTATTTTCTGGATTTTTAAAATTTAGAAAATATTGCAATTTAGAAAATATTGCAATTTAGAAAACATTGCATGCATAGGTTTATAGTAAATAGTAAATGCATAAATCCCATTGTAGTATAGTAAATAGTAAATGCATAAGTCCCATAGTAGTATAATAAATAATAAATGTATAAATCCCATAGTAGTATAGTAAATAGTAAATACATAAATCCCATAGTAGTATAGTAAATGCATAAATCCCATAGCAGTATAGTAAATAATAAATGCATAAATCCCATAGTAGTATAGTAAATAGTAAATGCATAAATTCCATAGTAGTATAGTAAATAGTAAATGCATAAATCCCATATTATACAGGGAGTCTTCAACATACGGCCACAATTGAGTCCAACTTTTATGTTGTTAAGCGAGACAGCTGTTAAATGAATTTTGCCTCATTTTGCAACCTTTCTTGCTACAGTTGGTAAGTGAATCACTGTAGTTGTAGGTTGCCTACCTCGGGCCTAGGCCTAGGTCGCTTTATGACTCATGGACTTCAACTCCCAGAATTCCTGAGCCAGCATGGCTCAGCATGGCAACCTCTCCCTTTCCCCTCAGCATGGCTGGCTCAGGAATTCTGGGAGTTGAAGTCCATGAGTCATAAAAGAGCCAAGGTGGCCTACCCCTGGCCTAGACAGTAGGAATTCAAGCAGAGGCCACAGTAGCTGCTTGAATGTCCAGAAGAGCCAGATTCATGCCTGGAGCAGGCAGTGCATGTCTTGATCAAAGGAAAGAGAACCACTGGGTGTTTCTCCCTCTCTCCGCAGCCTCTTTTCAGCAAGCGGTTCCTGAGGCTGTGAAAGAAGTGGAAAAAGAAGTGGCACAACTCAAAGCAGGTAAGGTTAGAGCTGCCTCTTTAGGAAAAGCGATCTTGCCACATGTTGCCTGATGTTGGATCCAGGAGTCCTTGCTGCTCTCTGGTTGTTTCCTTGCAGACATTTCATTACCCAACTAGGCAACATCATCAGTGCTAGTGTTGGATTCTCATCCTTAGCTTTGCAAAGAGGCAGTTTCTGCTGTTTGCAAATGCCACACACTCCCACCCATTAATCAAGTCTTTTTTTTTTTACAGACCAGCATAGGAAGGGTGGAATACAGACAAAAAGATAAATAATATAATACACGAAAGTGTTTTTTTTTTTAACTTGGTGTCTTGTACGCTTGTCAGTTTTTAAAATTATTTATTGTATCCCCACCTTCCTATGTTGGTTGATGACGTTTAGTCACCAGGAGCAGAAGTTGAGTCTTTCAAGTTTTTGGGCTTGTGTAAGAACCCATCCTCAGGGACATCTCTCACCAGAAGGGGGTCTTATAAGGAAACCCCAGAATTTGGATTGCAAAGGTTATTTGTATACTAGTTTGCATTGCCTTTGCATTGCTAGGTAACATGAGTTTAGAGCTTAAGGTTGTGTGATGTCTGTCATCTAGTGATTCTCTCTCTCTCTCTCTCTCTCTCTCTCTCACACACACACACACACACACACACACACACAGAAAAAGAGAGGGGGGAGAAAAGAAGAGAAAAAGAGGGGGAGAGAGAGAGAGAGAGAGAGAGAGAGAGAGAGAGAGAGAGAGAGAGAGAGAGAGAGAGAGAGAAAGGGAAGGAGAAATCGAAAGAGAAAGAGAGGGAGGGAGGGAGAAAGAAGTGGATGCCTCCAGGTAAGTGATTACACAACCTGCTGTATTCCATTCTGACTTGACTCCTTTTTTGGGTTCGCAACATACATACAAGCTGGGTTCACACAAATGCTAAATAAGGGTGCCGGTGATAGGGATATTTTGTGCGAATGCAGCTGCTCCTTTAACCTGGTCAGCTAAACCTGTGGCATAAATCCTAAGAATATCCATGCTTTCAAGGGCAGGTAAATTATGAGAAGGTCTTTCACGGCCTAGTTTAGGAGTTTTTCTGAAGAATTCGCTGGGTTATTAAACTACTTAGCTGGATTAGTTAGCTTTTAAAATGATAAAAGTCCACCTTGGTTTGAGTCAGGGGAAACTATCTGCTTCCCGAGAATTAAAGTTTAAAAATGCTGGCAGCAAACTTTGTGGATTGCTCAATACTTTAGACCCATCCTACAAAATAGGGGATTCAGCGTATTGTTCCATCTCCATCTGTGCGTTCTCCATCTGTGCTCAAATGTCAAATCAGAAAAACTACATTTCAACTTTCCCTCTGTCTTTACAGCACCACCTTGCATTCCACCATGTGGTAAGTCCAAAAATCTGGGTTTTTTAAAACCCTCCTTCCTCAATTGATATCACTATCTCCCATCTACCCCACTTCCTCATTAACTTCTCTTTCTATATCAGAATAACAGAATAGCAGAGTTGGAAGGGACCTTGGAGGTCATCTAGCCCATCCTCCTGCTCAGGCAGGAAACCCTATACCAGTGATGGCTCTGTGCCACCTGTGGCAATGCATGCCATAGGTTCGCTACCACGGACTTAGAGTTAGGGTTACATCACCATGAACTCGGAGAGCAAAATGGACATCGCCAACAAACTTAGAATACTAGGGTTTGGTTAGGAGGGCACTTACTTTTCTAGGCTGCCCTATCTATGTTTCCTGGTAAAATACATGGGAAAATCCCATTGAAGAAAAATTCCACTTAGGGTTAGGGTTAGGTCACCGTGAACTCATAGAACAAAATGGACATCACTAACAAACTTAGAATACTAGGGTTTGGTTAGGAGGGCATTTACTTTTCTAGGCTGCCCTATCTATGTTTCCTGGTAAAATACATGGGAAAATCCCATTGAAGAAAAATTCCACTTAGGGTTAGGGTTAGGTCACCATGAACTCAGAGAGCAAAATGGACATCGCCAACAAATTCAGTGAGCTTGGGTATGGTTAGGAGGGCACTTACTTTTCTAGCCTGCCCTATCTATGTTTCCTGGTAAAATACATGGAGAAATCGCATTGGAGGAAAATTCCACTATACCATTTCAGACAAGTGGTTGTCCAATGTCTTCTTAAAATCTTCCAGCGTTGGAGCATCACAGCTTCTGGAGGCAGGTTGTTCCATTGATTAATTGTTCTGAAGGTCAGGAAATTTCTCCTTAGTTCTAGGTTGCTTCTCTCCATGAGTAGTTTCCATCCCATTGCTTCTACTCCTGTCTTTGGGTGCTTTGGAGAATAGCTTGACTCCCTCTTCCTTGTGGCAACCCCTGAGATATTGGAACTCTGCTATCATGTCACCCCCCTAGTCCTTCTTTTCATTAAACTAGACATACCCAATTCCTGCAACCGTTTCTCATATGTTTGAGCCTCCAGTCCCCTAATCAACTATGTTGCTCTTCTCTGCACTCTTTCTAAAGCCTCAACATATTTGTTTTATATCGTGGAGACCAAAACTGGGTGCAGTATTCTAAATGTGGGCTTACTAAAGCATTATGTTCTCACAACCCCTTTTCATGTTCCTTGCAGGCTACCAGAAAGAGGCCCACCACTACAAATGTTCGTCTTGTACTATCGTGGATTGCCAGCTACCCATCGATTGCCCCAGTTACAGATCCTTTTTTTTAAAACTAGAGAGTTGCTATTTAAACTAGAGATTTGTGATTTAAACTAGAGATTTGCTAAAGAAACTGTAGAGCCCCCGCCCCCAGGAGGAACTGGGAAAGACCCCTGTCTGAAACCCCTGAGAACTTCAGGCCAGTCCAAGGGCTCCATTCACACATGACATTTGGCTTCTGAATTAAACCATGATCTGAAGTTGCACAGCACAGTGAATTCTGAGCTAACAGGTCGGCTTTGCACCAAACTTGAAGGTCCAAAGCAAAAGTTACCAAGCAATAATGTTTAATACAGGTGGTCCTCGATTTACAACAGTTCATTTAGTGACCATTCAGAGTTACAATGGCACTGGAAAAAGTGATTTAAGACTGTTCTTCACACTTACAACCATTTCAGCATCCCCACGGTCAGGTGATCAAAATACAGACGCTTGGCAACTGACTCATAGTTATGACGGTCGCAGCATCCTGGGGTCACGTGATCCCCTTTTGCGACCTGAAAAACGAAGTCAATGGGGGAAGCCAGATCCACTTAACCACTTTAACAACCGCAGTGATTCACTTAACAACTGTGGCAAGAAAGGTTGTAAAACGGGACAAAACAAATGTTTCATTTAGCAGCAGAAACCTGGGGCTCAATTGCGGTCAAGGACTGCCTGTATGTTGTGTGGATACTCTCTGACCTGGCTAAATGCTTTGTGTGAATGCAGCTAATGCAGTGATGGCGAACCTTTTAGAGACCAAGTGCCCAAATTGCAACCCAAAACCCACTTATGCATCATCGGGTGCCGGGTGAGTGTGGCCCATTGGGTGGGTGTGGCCCATTGGATGGGCATGGCTGCAGTGGTAACGGCAGATTGGGTGGGATTAAAAAGTTCAATCAATCAATTCCAACTTTGCAAGATCTTTTTTTTCCCGCGAGAAGTTGAAATTGACTGATTGATTGAATTTTTTTTTTTTTTTGTACATAGCAGTGGAGGCCTAAAGTGAAAAGGTTTTATAAAACCCAGCTGAAGGCCTAGGATTGGGGCGACGGCACGCGTGCCCACAGAGAGGGTTCTGAGTGCCACCTGTGGCACGCGTGCCATAGGTTCACCACCACGGAGCTAATGTAAACTAGGGACAGGCAAGCATTTGGTGGCAGTAAATCACACACATACACCTACATATATGTTATCTTCATGATTCTCCAGTTCAGGATATATACAAATCAGAAGGAGATGCAACTTTTCTGAACTGCGAAGTTGCCTTCCAGACTTCTTCAGAAAGGACCTTCCGATGGAAATTTATCAAAGATGTAAGTAACTCTTTGCAGATTGAGGTTAGATCACCTGTGAAACTCTTAAGATTCAGATAAAGTTCTTTACATCTTTTGTTCTAAGCTAAGGGGAAGTTTAACATAGCCCCCTGGGCCACACAGTGGTATTCTAGACTTTTAAAAACATATTTATTTTCCTTTATCAACAAAAATAAAATACAAAACAGAAAGACAGAAAAACGAACGACCAACGCTAACAACGAAAAGGAAAAAAAAAGCTTGTGTGCAAAAAAAAAAGAAAAGAAAAAAATGTCAAATAGATCTAACATTAAACCTAAAACAATCTACCCCAGCTGGATGCTGAAAAATTAATTTAAAAAAACCCAATATGTTCTCCTCCCCTTATGTCAAGCAGGGTCTACAAATAGCTATAAACTTTCCCATCTATATTTTGCAAAAATACGATATTAGACAAATCTCCCTGATGTGGAAATCTGTCTAATAATCAAATCAACACATCTAATCACAATATATATGTAAAACAGAGAGAGAGAAAAAAACCCAACAGTCAACAGGTTAGCCCAAACGTTACACTAAACTTCACATCCCTCTGTGAACCATCTGCCACTCTATTTAACAGGTACAATTTCCACAAAAGGCTTTCAGTCTGTTATAAAGTTGTCTAATCCATTGTCTCTAATCAAAGTATTGTAGATTGATCAATCAAAGGATAATAATAATAATAATAATAATAATAATAATAATGTTGGAAGGGACCTTGGAGGGGCTGCCCCAAAGAAGAGGGAGTCAAGCTATTCTCCAAAGCGCCTGAAGGCAGGACAAGAAGCAACGGATGGGAACTAATCAAGGAGAGAAGCAACCTGGAATTAAGGAGGAATTTCCTGACAGTTGGAACAATTAACCAGTGGAACAACCTGCCTCTAGAAGCTGTGAATGCTCCAACACTGGAAGTTTTTAGGAAGAGATTGGACAGCCATTTGTCTGAAATGGTATAGGGTTTCCTGCCTGAGCGGGGGGGTTGGAGTAGATGACCTCCAAGGTCCCTTCCAACTTTGTTGTTGTTGTTATTATTACTACTACTACTACTATTATTATTATTATTATTATTATTATTATTATTATTATTATTATTATTATTATTATTATTATTATGTCATCTAGTCCAACCCCATTTATAGATTTACCAGTAGTGGTAATAAATTGCATTACCCCATTTGAATCCATGTAGTCCTTGACTTACGAGCACAACGGAGCCTAAAATTTCCATCAGTAAGCGAGATATTTGTTCAGTGGCTTTTGCCCCACTTTATGACCTTTCTTGCCACACTTGTTAAGTCAGTCACTGTGGTTGTTAAATGAATCTAGCTTTCCTTGTCAGAAGGTCGCAAAAGGAGATCACATGATCCCAGGATATTGCAACCGTCATAAATATGAGTCAGTTGCCAAGCGGCCGAATTCTGATCATGTGACCCTGGGAATGCTGCAATGGTCGTTAAGTGTGAGAAAAGGGTCATAAATTATTTTTTTTCCATGCTGTTGTAACTTTGAATAGCCGCTAAATTGTTGCAAGTTGAGGACCACCTGTACAGGGGAAATACAATTCCTCTCATATCTGTGTGTACCAAAGAACGGTAATTATTTGCATTTCGTAAGACCCCATAATCCTTATAAAGTATTTAAGAAGCTGCTATAACTGATAGAAGACAAAATATTAGTAGCTCAGGGTCCTTGGTGCTCTCTGAGCTTGGAGGTTTTCTTGCAGATGTTTCGTTACCAAACTAAGTATCATAAGAGCACTGATGATGTTACCCAGTTGGGTCATGAAACGTCTGCAAGAAAACCTCCAAGATCAGAGAGCAAGAAGGACCCTGAAGCAACTACTTCCAGGACCTGAGTCATGGTTCCGACAGATGAAACTCTTCAAAAACTTTGAGGCATTGTTTACCTTAAAGAATCTTTATTTCAGAAGCATAGCATCGCAACTGACACGGTCGAAGCCAAAAACTGGATTCCCCTCCTCTGGGCAGATAGTATCAAAGCACAATTCCGTCCTCCAATTAACAGTCATAAATCACATTCTCCAATTAGCTTGAAATGCAGGCTTTCCCTTCAGTTCTCCAGCCCGCCAATTCTTATCATCTCTTATTTCATTAACCTTAGTTCTCACACCAAGTCCAGTATTGCTATGTCTCTCTAAACTCTCATGCACACTCCTCCCCCACCAACATCATCTAACTCTAAAAGTAAAACATAAGAAGAAAATGGTTGCTGTCAAAGCAAAAACATCCAACATTAGCAGCGTTGACAACCTGATTCTCCACCTCAATCCACAGCTCCGGACGGACGAACTCTTCCTCTTCCAGCTCCTTAATTTTGGAGTCAATCCTTCTCTTCTCATTCGGCCAACCCTTGGATCCCATCACGGGACCTTTGCCTGCGAACTTGAAGTGGAAAACGATGTGGTCGTCAGGAAGTTTTTTTATGTCAACGGTGAGAGGGGGGGCCCCAAATTTTCCTGCAGTGCAGACTAATTGCGTCAAACTGGGGGTGCCATATTTAAATAGGGAAGCTACAGGCAGCCCTCGGCTTAGGACCACAGTTGAACCCCCCCCAAAATTTCTGTTGCTAAGTGAGACATTCGCTAAGTGAGCTTTGCCCCATTTTACAACCTTTCTTGCCGCCGTTGTTAAGTGAAGCATTGCAGATGATAAGTTAGTAACCCGGTTGTTAAGTGAAGCTGCCTTGCCCACTGACTTTGCTTGTGGTCACCGCAACCGTCGTAAGTACACGCCAGTTGCCAGGCATCTGAATTTTGATCACGTGATCATGGGGCTGCTACAAAGGTCACAAGTGGGGAAAATGGTCCTAAGTCACTTTTTTTCCAGTGCCGTTGTAACTTTGAATGGTCACTAAATGAAATGTTGTAGATGAAGGACTACTTGCATCAAAACCCTTCTGGTATTAATCCTTCAGATACCTGGTACGATACGGTAACGAAGGCGTTGTATTTCAGAGGGAGATCCAGCTTTAAGTTGCCATGTTTTAGAGACCCTGACCTAGAATGTCTCCCCCCACAATAATTGCCTAGCTGTGAGTGGCAGCCAACCGTTTTGTGGGCTGTGTGTGTGCATGTCCCTTTTTCCACTGCAGTGACAGAAAAAAGGCTGGGAAAAGAGAAAAAGCTGCAGGAAATGTTTAAAGCCATCCTGAATTCCCCGCCAGAGTCAGTACAGGAAGAAGTGGTGGTGAACAAGTTACCCTCTCTTCAAGATCTGCTGTCCCAGCCTGATTACCTCAGGAAAAGGGGTGTCATTATGCTTATCCTGGGAATAAGTGGGATATCACTGCTGGTTACTTTAGCAGTTCTGTAAGTATTTTGCGGAGGCAATTTACAGGGTGGCTTAAGTAAGACATCAGGCTAAAATAAAATTTAAAAAATAAAAGTAAAAATCTGGCTTTGCACCCAAAGTAGGACTGAGAAGAGATTGAACAACATTTGTCTGAAATGGTCTAGGGCAGGGGTAGGCAACCTTGGCTCTTTTATGATTCATGGACTTCAACTCCCAGGATTCCTGAGCCAGCCATGCTGGCTCAGGAATTCTGGGAGTTGAAGTCCACAAGTTATGAAGGGGCCAAAGTTTCCCTCATGCTGGCTCAGGAATTCTGGGAGTTGAAGTCCACAAGTTATGAAGGGGCCAAAGTTTCCCTCATGTTGGCTCAGGAATTCTGGGAGTTGAAGTCCACAAGTTATGAAGGGGCCAAAGTTTCCCTCATGTTGGCTCAGGAATTCTGGGAGTTGAAGTCCACAAGTTATGAAGGGGCCAAAGTTTCCCTCATGGGCTCAGGAATTCTGGGAGTTGAAGTCCACAAGTTCATGCTGGCTCAGGAATTCTGGGAGTTGAAGTCCACAAGTTATGAAGGGGCCAAAGTTTCCCTCATGTTGGCTCAGGAATTCTGGGAGTTGAAGTCCACAAGTTACGAAGGGGCCATAGTTCCCCTATTGTGGCTCAGGAATTCTGGGAGTTGAAGTCCACGAGTCATAAAAGAGCCAAGGTTGCCTACCCCTGCCCAAGGGGAACTCAGAGAGCATCTACGCGGCCTTGTCCTTCCCCTTCCGCCCGCCTTAATAGCTCCAGTAAACCATGCGCTCTTTCGAGTGCTTGCAGATCTTCACCACAGCTCCGCCGCTTTTCTCTTCTTCTTCCGAAGTAGACGTACGAAAGAGCTGGGTTATCTTAATATACTCTGCCAAAGCGTTGCCACTTTGCCTCCGTTGGAAAGTTATCTAAACCCGACCGTTTGCCAGCCCGCCCCACTCCGCGCTCTAGCCCGATCAAAAATCAAAGCCTTGGCTCATGAATTGATTCGGATTCCTTCCCTTCTCCAGGTGGATGTATCGCTGGGCGACGGACGTCGAGCCGTGAGTCGGGAGGGCCGCCTGGACCCTTCGGTCTTTCTCAGTATATTTGATCCCCCCCCCCGCTTGTCTCTCCCTACGCTCCCCCCCCCCGGCATTAAAGACGGCAAAGCTCGCCTGACGTCACGCGCGACACGGAGTCTTGCAATACTTGAGCGCTGCGAAACTCGGAAATCCTCAACGCCTTTACATAACAGACGGGCTGGAGGTGGGGGGAAAAACCCAGTGATAGGAAGCTGGAAGGCGTTTCTTTCTTTCTTTCTTTCTTTCTTTCTTTCTTTCTTTCTTTCTTTCTTTCTTTCTTTCTTTCTTTCTTTCTTTCTTTCTTTCTTTCTTTCTTCTTGCTTGCGCGCTCTCTCTCTCTCCATCCCTCTTTCTTTGTCTTTTTCTTTCTCTCGTCTTTCTTTTTCTGTCTTTCTGCCTTTCTCTCGCTCTATCTTCTTTCTCTTTTTTCTTTCTGTCTTTATCTTTCTCTCTGTGTCTTCTTTCGTTCGTTCTTTCTCTCTCCCTCTTTCTTTGTCTCTTTCTCTCATCTCTCTTTCTTTCTCTCGTCTCTCTCTCTTTTTGTCTTTGTCTTTATCTTCTTTCTTTCTCTTTTTCTTTCTCTTGTCTTTCTGTCTTTCTCTCTTTTTTTCTATCTTTCTTTCTCTCTTTCTCTCTTTCTGTCTTTCTCTCTTTTTCTTTCTCTGTCTCTTTCTTTCTTTCTTTCTTTCTTTCTTCTTGCTTGCGCGCTCTCTCTCTCTCCATCCCTCTTTGTCTTTTTCTTTCTCTCGTCTTTCTCTTTCTGTCTTTCTGCCTTTCTCTCTCTCTCGCTCTATCTTCTTTCTCTCTTTTTCTTTCTTTCTCTTCTTTCTGTCTTTATCTTTCTCTGTCTTCTTTCGTTCGTTCTTTCTTTCTCCATCTTTGTCTCTTTCTCTCATCTCTCTTTCTTTCTCGTCTCTCTCTTTCTCCCTTTCTCTTTCTTTCTGTCTTTATCTTCTTTCTTTCTCTTTTTCTTTCTCTTGTCTTTCTGTCTTTCTCTTTCTGTCTTTTTTCTTTCTGTCTGTCTTTCTTTCTTTTTCTCTATCTCTCTGACTTTCTCTCTCTCTTTCTTTCTTTCGTTTCCTTCCTTCCTTCCTTCCTTCCTTCCTTCCTTCCATTAAAACCTTTAGATAAAAAGATAAAAACTAACACAAACTAATATAAAGTAAGGAAGAAAAAAGAAAGAAAGAAAAAACAAAAAGCGCAAGAAAAGAAAGCAAAGTTGAAGGGCATCCTAAGAGGGACCTTTTGTATCCCTAAAGAAGAATAATTGTAGTTGAGGGTTGAAATAAGGGGTCCCTGGTGCTCTCTGAGTTTGGTGGTTTTCTTGCAGAGGTCTCATGACCCAGACAGGTAACATTATCAATGCTGGTGCTCAAAACCTTTATCATATAAAAAAGCTGACAACTATGCGCATAAAACTCACTTAAGATAAAATTTGATTGTGTTGCTCTGGAAATTAATACAGGTAGTCCTCAACTTACAACAGTTCATTTAGTGACCATTCAAAATTACGATACTCAAAAAGTGACTTATGACCACATTTCACACTTACGACAATTGCGGTATCCCCAGGCAATCAAATTTCAGATGCTTGGCAACTGACTCATACTTATGACGATTGCAGTGTCCCAGGGCCACGTGTTTGCCTTTTGCAAACCTTCTGACAAACGAAGTCCATGGGGAAGCCAAATTCACTTAACAACCGTGCTATTAACTTAACAGCTGTAGGGATTCACTTAACAACTGTGGCAACAAACGATGTAAAATGGGGCAAAACTCCACTTAACAATTGTCTCACTTGGCAACAGAAATTTTGGGCTCAGTTGCGGTCCTAAATCAAGGATTATCATTTCATTAAGCTCTTCAGCCAGGCTGAATCTCACTGCTAACCTACAGGATGTTTTAAAAGTGTCCATTTCCTGCCCTTAACCATCTTGTGGGTTGAGACATCATCTGGTGGAAGGCACTGCTGGAGGCTTGGATTTGAGAAAATGGGAAATATCTGTTGCGCTTTTGCCCAGGTTTAAAACAAGGCAAATGCAACTGCTGGCAAGGGAGATCAAAAAATCTAGTTTTATATGTATTTTGATATGGCCAAACAAATAAATAAATTCTGTATTCTATTGTGAAAAAAAATAGAGGCCACAATCAAAGCTCACCCCTTTCTCATACCGTATCTCCGTGGTTGGAATTATAACACATAGATACACAGATGGCTGCCCCTGACTGTTAAATATTTCATGGACCTGGTTCAATCCATTTAATCAGTACTTTTCAAACTTGGCAAACTTAACATGGGCGGATTTCAGCTCCTAGAACTCCCCAGAGTTGAAGTTCACACATCCTAAAGTTGCCAGGTTTGAAAAAAACACTGTATAATGCAACCTCTGAGTACTTCCTTTTGATAAGGATCCCCTATCAGCTTTCCAACAGTAATTGCACTTAATGTCTCCTCCAGCACTTTTGGACAGTGTGTTATTTAAAGGGATTTGGCCTTTTACTACAGTGTCCCATAAGCCCTTTATTTCAGAAACCTGTCCCTTAAATTTATTTATTTATTGTCTTGGTTTGGCTCCTGAATTTTCCTTTGATAAAGCAAAGTTATAAAGCTAAATATTTTCCTTTTTATTCCTTATGAATCTCTTTCAGAATTGCCCTCTTTTTAGATGTGGCCTTTCTTTTTTTCCCAGAAAATACACCATAGTCACTCTTATCTTTTGCATATGTAAAGAAGGAAGGTCATTCACAGATTTGATAGCTATTAAGATAAGGAAGTGCAGAAGCTCAGAGGTTTAGCAAGAAGATAAAAAACAAATTCTGCTGGGTCATGGGGTCAGTCCAGACTTTTTCAATGCTTTTGGGCAGTAACAAACATGGGCTTTTTGCATTTTTCTCCATTTTTTTTCCATTTAACCTTTTCTTTTTTTAATTTCCTTTGTTTATCTGCAGCACTGATGTATCTATTAGGCACAACAATGCCAAGGCCCATGAAAATGTTTTTTTGAACTGGTTACAAACGAGAAGTTGTTTATTTCCTTACTTTTTAATAAGGCTGTATGTATTTTTATGCCTTTTCATTAAAACAAAGGCAAGAAATGCATAACATTTGAACGTCAAACTGATTTTACTTGTGACCTGTTATTCTAGGATGCATATTGACATTTAGCTACAGAAGCAATAGCCTAATAGGTTGATAAGTAATCAGCAACACTTGACATAAAATAATATATTTGTAACTGCTTCACATTTCTCTGTAAACATACAAGTATATAAAAGCATATGAAATATAATAGTTAACAGCTTTGGTCTTGTGGCGAAGCCACCAGACTAGAAACCCAGAGCTAGTGAGTTTAGTCCTGCTTTAGGCATGAAAGCCTGCTGGGTGACAACCTCACAGGGTTGTCGTTGTGAGGAAAATAGGAGAAGGAAGATTAGATATGTTTGCTGCTTGGAGGTTTTTTTTTTTTTTAAAAAAAAATAACATGGAATAAAAATAAAGATAAATTAAAGCCGTACGGAACAGAGGTTTAACTACAGCAACTAGTTTTTCTTGGAAAAAATAAAGAGCAAAGCTGAAAAAGGAGCAAAGCTGAAAGAGGTTCGTAAAGGAAAAAAAAAAATGGATCCGTTTTAAGTTTATAACTTTGCTTTACAAAGGAAACTTCCAAAGAGCCAAGCCGAGAACATCTTTACAGAAGCACATAACCTAATAAAATCACTCTGAGCGAAATGGGCGCTCTCTAAATTTCGTAAATAAATTAAAAAAAAATCTAAAATTAAATTCAAAGTGTTTATTTTGAAAGAGTAATGCCGTTTGCAATTTGCATATTTTTTTCCCCCACCCGAATGCGGAAGACTGTGTGCATGAAGCGGGGGTGCCCACTTGTAGGATAAAACTTAAAAGCACTAAAGAGCAAAAATGAACTTTTGGGAAAAATAAACACATCTAAACGGGCGGCTTCCCGCAGTAAAGGAGGGTTCTTTAGCATAAATAAGAGAAGGTCACTTGATCGACAGAGTTGGCTTTTGCAAAAGATAAAAAAGAAAAAAAGAAAGAACGTCAAGTACCTTCATTTACACTCCCACTTTGCAATCAACTGCCCACTTCGAGCGTTGCACGTTTGCATATTGCAGACTTAACCGCTTTATTTAGCTCTTCTGCATAATAAACACAGGACATTCCGCCGGGGGGGGGGAGGCGGGGGAGTTCATCCCCCACGAGGAGCCGCAGCGCCCCCTATCGCCTGCCCTGGAGGCCCGGACTCCTGTTGCTCGGAAATTCCCACGCTGCCTGGAACTCCTTATATGGCGCGTGACGCGTTTGGCGCGCGAGAAAGGGGGCGGGGCCCGGGGAAATCTCCTCCCTTTTTTCCCAAAGCGGCTCCGCCCCGGCCCCGGGGATGAATCAGAAGCGCCGGAGAGAGGCGCGCAGAAGCGATCGTGAGAGCGCAAGAGGAAGAACCGCGTGGCGGGGGAGCATCGCACGTTGCCGCGGGAGGTAGGGCAAAAAAAGCGGGGGCGCGGGACCGGGCTTGCCCCCTGCAAAGAGGGGGGGGAGGACACGGGTTATTTCAACGGGGCTGTGGGAATCTGTTCGGGGTCTGTTCCACCGGTTGAACTGGGTTCTCCTTCCCCGGTGGGAGCGTCGCGCTTTTAACTAAGATGCGCGGCGGGCTCTCCTCCACGTGGAAACGCCGATCAGGGACGGTGGGGGGGGACCGGCGAGGAGGGACGCGAGTGGGGCTGCGTCTCGCGTGGGTCGCCCCGAGGAGATTCCCCGAACTCTCCCGGGCGCGTTTCTCCCGATCTCCCTGCGCCTCGGATTACCGTCCACTCCACGCTCACGCCCCCCCCCCACTCCCGTCTCCGCTTCCACCCGGACCTCCCAAATGTTGCCCTCTTTCCTCGTGCCTTTTTCTCCTCCGTCTCCAACCCGGCGCCCTCTGCTAAGCAGCCTCGGGACGCAACTCTGTTTTTTTCCCACGACCGACAAGACGGGAGAGCCGGCTGGGAACGGAGAGGCGTTGCACGGCAAATTCTTTTTTTTTTTAAAAAAAAAGAATTTGCCGGGCCTCGGGGGAAGGAGGGGGGGGGAAATGTTCATGTGGGTCCCTCTTTCGCTCAAGTTATGCGCCTCGTTGGAAAGAGGTGGAGAAGGATAAGTCCGGGCAAATCTAAAGCAATTTTTGGGGGGCCGGGGGGGAAGGAAGGAAGAGAATAGGCGCATTTTGAGATTCTGTTTTCACGGATTCAGCCCCTTAACATTTGGTTAAGGAGAATAGCCGTCTTGCCCAATAGTTTCTGATGCTAAACTCCGCTTCTGAGGGGGTTAATGCAAAGCTCCGGGTGCCCACCTCCTGCCGCTTTTTCTCAAGGATAAGAGTCCAGGGCCCACGCGTGCTTCCACCCTCAGCCCCACCCGCCCAGCCCGTTCAGCTGCATAATTGCTGGCCTGCACGACGCTCCCATTTTCTTCCCCACCGTCCTTGGAAACCCAGATATTGCTTTCAGGCATGTTGCATCCAGGGAAAAAAAAAATAAACCACATTTTAGCCTGGCATCTCATGTGAAAGCGGTCCTTGTCGTTGTAATTTGCAGTTCGGGAGCTGGGTTTGCACAACGGAGCTATTCCCAAGGTAAAATGGAGTTTGGTAAACTGGAATGGGAATCCAGCTGTTGTATTAGCACGCTAAGTCAACCTCTAGGTTCTTTTTTTTTTTTTTTTTTTTGAGGCTTGGATGTGATGAGAACCCATAAGCCGGGTTGTGTGTGTTGAGTGAACTTGGAAAAGTGAAATTATTGAATAAGCCATAAGGTCATTCGTTGGGCATCCATACAATGTTTTCCATCATTTCTGCTGGGTACATGGAGGCAGATAGAGGTGGAATATATCAGGTTTTTAAAAAAAATTGGCAACTTTAAGATATATGCATTTCAAGTCCCAGAATTCCCAGCTAGTTTGCATGTTGGTTGGTGGATTCTGGGAGTTGAAGTCCACGCATCCTGAAGTTTCTGGGTTTGAAAAGAACTTGTATACCATTGTCTTAAGAGTTGTCATGAAGTTGCTGTTGCCACTGTTCTCTCCTCTCAATGGTTGCATGATGGTCTAAAAATCATAAATCTCCAGAGAGGAAATGGCCCTAAAAACTGTACAGACTAACAGCACAGTACATCTTGAAAAACCCCAGGCCAGGGTCATGTGTAGACAGACAGCTTGTGGAGCCAAACTGGTTTCATTTGGTCGGTGCCATGTGACTGTGTATATGCAGACCTGTCCAAATGCAGAGAGGGAGGGAATTGTATTTATGTAACACAACGTGCTTCCTTTCTCAAATTAAAGGTTCCCAAATATTCCTGAGTTCAATCCAGTGCCTTAAAAATAAAGCTGAAAAGTCGCAAAGATAAATTAAAGGCAAAAAACAAAGCTAGTCAAATTGCATACATGCAATTGTGGAGGGCCTTGAATTGACCCATAAAGCAACAGTTTTTAGCATTGGCAACTTGTCTGGACTTCAACTGGCTGGCTGGAGAATTCTGGGAGTTGAAGTTCACACATCTTAAAAGTTGCCAAGGTTGAGAAATACTGCTTAAAGGGTGAACCCCGCCAGGTTTGGGTTTTCCCTTTATGGAAATCATCCTTCTGGTACTTTTTGGCCCCGCCCTTCTCCACTTTTGCATGTGCCTATCACTATGTCCACTTCCTTACTGAGTGCCAATCTGCCCTTGCATTTTATCTGCCCTCCTACTGATGCTTATCCTCTCCTGATTATTCTTTTGTGCACACACACACACACACACACACACACGCACGCACGCGCGCGCACACACTCACTGGCCTTCTCAAAAGCTGATGAAACAGCCTGAAACTTCCAAGTCTTTATCAGTGCCTGACATGGGAAGATCACTGAAAGTCGCCCCCACCCCCGACACACCCTCTCTTTGCAAGGGACATTATTATTAAACATGACCTATTTGCCCGCCAGTCCATCAGGTCACGTGCCAGATTGGTGTGTATTTTGTTTGATTTCTTGGTGCGTCTCACCGAAAAATGTCCTTAACTGTGTAATTCAGTGTTTTTCAACCTTGGGGACTTTTTAGCTGTGTGGACTTCAACTCCTAAAGTGCTGCCTCGGGAATTCTGGGACCTGAAGTCCACACAGCTTAAAAGTTCCCAAGGTTGAAAAGCATTTGTGTAAATGAACAGTGGCTTTGGAAGCGGGGGGGGGGGCTGCCCACAAGCTGGATTTTAGTGCTTAAAGGTATGCTACTTCTGAACCTGGGGGCTCCAGTCCTTTGGTTCCTTTGCCCATTTTGAAAATGTACTTTAGGTTTTTGAATATTAACAGAGAAATGGACTAGATTGGCCTGTGATTGGATGCAGCTTGGCTCAAAAGATGTAAATGGCGCTGTCTCCTCTTGTGTGAAGAAAATGTCCTTTTTCCAGACTGACCCAACTATTTCAGTGGGTTGGCCATTTGTTCTGGTAACCTAAGAATAACGAGCGTTCTGAGAATTAAGCAGGCTTTGCATATCATGTTGAGCCATATTCTGTGAATCAGAGTTTGTTGATTGAATCACAACCTGGTCAAAGTCATATTTAAGCCGTGGAAATCAACTATGGCTAAGTTTCTACCATCTGTTAAGCTGAAGTCAAGCCTGATGGAGAGAGCCAATTTCGGTATTGTGTTTAAGGCTTCAGCCTAGAAACCCCAGAAGACCATGGGTTCTTGGGGACAAAGCTAGCTGGGTGACTTTGGGCCAGCCACTTTCTCTTAGCCCTGGGATGGAGACAATGGCAAACTTCTGAAAAACTTTGCCAGGAAAACTGCAGAGACAATAATAACAACAACAACAACAATAATAATATAAAAAAGTTGGAAGGGACCTTGGAGGTCATCTAGTCCAACCCCCTGCTCAAGCAGGAAACCCTATACCATTTCAGACAAATGGCTGTCCAGTCTCTGAAAAGTGTCTGAGAATTGGACACAATTGAACAGAAGGGGCAAAATTCCCTAATAGAAGGGTGTGTTATAAGGAAACCTCAGAATTTGGATGCAAAGGGTATTTGTATACTAGTTTGCATTGCCTTTGCATTGCTAGGTAACATGAGTTTAGAGATTAGGAGGTTGTGTGAAATCTGTCATCTAGTGATTCTCTCTCTCTCTCATTCTCTCTCTCTCTCTCTCTCTCTCTCTCTCTCTCTCCCCCCCCCCCGCTTGTGTATCAGAGATAAGATTTGGGCTGATGGTTTTCCAAATTTAGTTTTGCTGCCTCTGTTGCTGTTTCCCCAACCCACAATCTTGGCTAGCAACCTTGGAGTTTCCCGAGAATGAGTTATATTTATCAATGGGACTATAGATAGAAAGGACAGTCCAAAGAAAGTCAAAGTCAAAGAGGAAAATATAGGAGAGAGAAAAAAATTCCCAGGGGTTGAAATGATGGGCAAATATTCAGATGAGAAACACATGGTCTTTTGCAGAAAAGCTAACAAAAGGTTGTACATAAATGTGTTAAGTCTTCATAAAAGAGACACTATTATTCCTTGCTCCAATTAGGGGACAGTTTTGGGATGCTTGGTGCTCTTTGAGCTTGGTGGTTTTCTTGCAGACGTTGCATAACCCAACTAGGTAACATCAACACTACATCAGTAGCACTGGTGTGATGTTACCTAGTTGGGTAATGAAACGTCTGCAAGAAAACAACCAGGCACAGAGCATCAAGGACCCACCATTCAACCCTGAAATTACAAATATTGTTCAAGTCTCTTAAATCCAATTGGCAATCTCAGGAACATCTGTAACCCTGTAATTCAAGCTGAGGTTTGCTTAGAAATGCATAGATGGATGAATGGACAGACTGATTGATAGATGTTGGATGGAGAGAGAGTGTGGAGATAGATAGATAGATAGATAGATAGATAGATAGATAGATAGATAGATAGATAGATAGATAGATAGATAGATAGATGAGAGAGAGAGAGACAGACAGACCTGAGTTTATTTCTTTATCAAATTTAAATAGTGTCCATCTTACTGTGTAGGTGAGTCTGGGCGGTTTACAAAGAAAAGTTGCAAAACCATGAAATACCATTAAAAACAGTTAAAAAAAACAAGTTGAAGGACAGCTTAAAGGATAGAAGTGGCACCCTCAAATCACCAGCCACCCCCAGGATCGCATGGCCCTCTTTGACCCCCCCCCCATGCCAGTTGACAGAGTCCAATCTTCAGACTCTTCTGGAAGAACAAAAAAGTGGGGGCCGACCACACCTGGGGGGCAAGATGTTCCATGGGGGGGAGCAATGGCAGAGAACACTCTCTTCCTAACCCTCCCAGTCAAAGTTCTTATAACCAGTGGGATTCATAATATTCTTTCCCTGCCTGACTGGGTGGGAGGGCTTGATGTAATAATTGAAGATGAGACGGTTCCTCCAGTAAACCTGGTCCCGTGCCATGATGGGCAATTTTGCAATTGAGGGGAGGTGGGTGGCTGTTAATCTCCAGTAAATCTGGTCCTTTGCCATGATGGGCAATTTTGCAATTGAGGGTGGTGGTGGCTGTTAATCTCAGTTTTTAGAAGCCCACAGAGACTGCCTAGAATGGGTGGGGGGAACCTTGGCTCTTTTTATGATTTGTGGACTTTAACTCCCAGAATTCCTGAGCCAGCCATGGCTGGCTCAGGAATTCTGGGAGTTGAAGTCCACAAGTCATAAAAAGAGCCAAGGTTCCCCACCCCTGGCCTAGAATTAAATATTTCCTGTTCCTTTATCTTCCCTTCCCCCCCCTCCAAAAAAAACACTTTTGTTGTTAATGCGAAGTCGTGTCTGACCCATCGCGACCCCATGGACAACGTTCCTCCAGGTCTTCCTGTCCTCTACCATCTTCTGGAGTCCATTTAAGTTCTCACCTACTGCTTCAGTGACTCCATCCAGCCATCTCATTCTCTGTCGTCCCCTTCGTCTATTGCCCTCAATCTTTCCCAGCATTAGGCCCTTCTCCAGTGAGTCCTTCCTTCTCATTAGGTGGCCAAAGTATTTGAGTTTCAACTTCAGGATCTGGCCTTCTAAAGAGCAGTCGGGGTTGTTCTCTTCTAGGACTGACCGGTTTGAACGCCTTGCAGTCCAAGGGACTCGCAGGAGTCTTCTCCAGCACCATAGTTCAAAGGCCTCAATTCTTTGGCGCTCAGCCTTTCTTATGGTCCAACTTTCACAGCCATACATTGCAACGGGGAAAACCATGGCCTGGACTATACGCACTTTTGTTGGCAGGGTGATGTCTCTGCTTTTTAGTATGCTGTCTAGATTTGCCATAGCTTTCCTCCCCAAGAGCAAGCGTCTTTTAATTTCTTGGCTGCAGTCCCCCATCTGAGGTGATCTTGGAGCCCAGAAAAATAAAATCTGTCACTACCTCCATTTCTTCCCCATCTATTTGCCAGGAATTGAGAGGGCCGGATGCCATGATTTTGGTTTTCTTAATGTTGAGTTTCAAGCCTAAAAAAAAAAAAAAAAAAAAAAACCTAGGGATCTGAATTGTTTCTTTCTGGGCTTTTCAGATAAGGAGGTCTTGCCAGAGCACCAAAACAGGGGTCTTCGTTCTTGAGGTGGCATTGGGTGGTCTCCCTCCACCTGTCTTTTGGAGACAAGGAAGACTCCAGGTGAGTTGGCTGATGCTGGGACTAGACTAGCCGGCTGCGGTGATGGCAATTAGCCAGTCTTGTGACTGGGTGGGGGACATTTTGTAAACCTGACATTCCTTTTCCAAGTGCTTCAGGCTGTTTGGAAACTGGCTTAATCTGGCAGGTGTGCAGTAGCTGGGAGCATTTCCCTTTTACCCCGGCTGGCTTAGTCAAAAGCTGGTAGGAGGGTACACGTAGTCCTCATCTTACAGCAGTTGGTTTAGTAACCGTTCAAAATTACAAGGGCACTGAATGAAGTGACCTGTGACCGTATCGCCATGGTCCTGTGATCAAAGTTCAAACACTCTGCAAATGGTTCCTATTTATGACGGTTGCAGTGTCCAGGTCACTTGATCCCCTTTTGCGACCTTCTGATGAGCAGATTCAATGGGGAAGCCACTTCACAATTGTGTTACTCACTTAACAACTGCAGTGATTTCACTGGACCATCTATGGCAGGGGTAGGCAACCTTGGCTCTTTTATGGACTTCAACTCCCAGAATTCCTGAGCCAGCATGGGGGAACTATGGCCCCTTCATGACTTGTGGACTTCAACTCCCAGAATTCCTGAGCCAGCATGGCTCAGCATGGAAACCTCTCCCTTTCCCCTCAGCATGGCTGGCTCAGGAATTCTGGGAGTTGAAGTCCACCAGTCATAAAAGAGCCAAGGTTGCCTACCCCTGGTTTATGGTAAGAAGGGTTGTAAAATGGGGCAAAATTCATTTAACTGTCTTGCTTAGCAACAGAAATGTTGGTCTCCATGGTGGTCGTAAGCTGAGGACTGGCTGTATTCTCCAGGCAACACAGTTATGTACCACACATTGGGGTCAGCCTTGATGTCCTCAGGGAGAGTATGGCCTCTCTCTGGCTAATGGTCAAGGACCAGATTCCTGGTCTATAAGGTGGGAGTGTATACAGGTGGTCCTCGACATACAGCCGAAATTTCAGTTGTTAAGTGAGACATTTATTAAGTGCATTTTTGCCCCATTTTACGACCTTTCTTGCCACAGTTGTTAAGGAAATCACTGCAGCTGTTAATAACCTGGTTGTTAAGTGAATCTGGTTATCTGATGGACTTTGCTTGTGAGAAGGTCACAAAAGGGGCTCATATGATCTTGGGACACACAGCAACGGTCATAAAATAGGAACCAGTTGCCAAGCATCTGAATTTTGACCACGTGATCGTGGGAATACTGCAAAACGTGTAACTGGAAACTCGTCCTAAGTGACTTTTCTTTCAGTTGTAGCTATGAATGGTCACTAAATGAATTTTAAGTCGAGGTCCAGTGCTTGCCATCGGCTTATGGGCTGCACTGGGACTGGTGCCCAAGAGGGTTGAAGGATTTTAAAATACGAAAAAAGCCAAATTCTGCCCTGTGTCTTAAAATTCTGGCCAAATAAGATCAAGGTTTTGGGCCTTGCTCCATCTGGGAAGCTGCAAAAAGAGGAGGATTTTTCCTCCTTCTTGTGAGGGGGGATGCTGTTATCTATTGTGGAGTTCACAGCAAGGTGAAATCACAGCTGCCCGCTCTTTAGCTGGTTGGTGGCCTTCAATTATTCTATTATTATGGTTCCTGGCGAAGTCCGCCAAATGTTTAGACTGGAATTTGACATTTTTTGTGCACTTTATCGGGTCCTTCCCAAGGACTTTGGATCGGCAGATGTTGCTATTTAATAATATTAAGGGTATCCTTTTAGGATGAAAGCCGCTCCAAGTACAGTAAAGCTGCTTTTGCTATTCACGGCTGTGATTTTTATCAGTGCCAATATTGTTCAAGTGGTGCTCCAGATGGTTTGGGATTGCAAACTTATCACTATGGCTACTATCTTTGCTTTCTTTTCCATTCTTGTTATAGTTATTCTGGTTAGTTGCCTAGTCAGCTAGATATTTAGAGGGACTTGGTATTTTTGTACACTTGAGAGAGTCCTTCCCAAGGACCTGGGAGAGATAGATGTTTGTTTTTTTTTTTTTAAATATTTTTTTATTTTTCCAAACTCTCCCCCATACATATACTGTGATATTTATCAGATGTTAACATACATTCCTTTTACATTCATATATAAGATACTTTTGATAAAATGAAATAAATACATACATATGACTTTTGGTGTTGCTCGCCCATTTCCCCTTTCACTGTATCCACACTCCTTCTTCTCTACCTTCTTTCTCCCTTTCTTCTCTTCCCTACTTCCCTCTTCTTCCTCTCCTCTTTCCTTCACCACTCTCCTCCCCTTTCTCCCCACTTCTCCTCTTCTCCTCCAACCTTCCTACTTCCTTCTCCCCTCCTTCACTCTTTTCTCTCTCCTCTCCTTTCTTCCCTCTCATCCCTCTTCAGATACAATTCAGGGGTAATGTCCGAGCAACTCCTCGGAGAGATAGATGTTGCTGTTTAATAATACAGGTAGTCCTGGACTTAAAAACAGTTTGAAGTTACAACGGCACTGAAAAAGCGTTTTTCACACTTACGACCATTGCAGCATCTCCAGGGTCACGTGATCAAAATCCAGACATTTGGCAACTGGCTCGTATTTATGACGGTCGCAGTGTCCCGGCGTCACGTGATCCCCTTTTGCAAGCTTCTGACAAGCAAAGTCAATGGGGGAAGCCAGATCCACTTAACAACTGTGTTCCTCCCTTAACAACTGCAGGGATTCACTTAACAAATGTAGCAAGAAAGGTTGCAAAATGGAGCAAAACTCACTTAACAAACGTTTTGGCTTAGCCACAGAAGTTTTGGGCTCAGTTGTGGTCTTAGTCAAGGACTATAGTTGCAGCACGTAAGCGTTCAACTGTTGCTTCAGAGGCTTTGCTTGGAACCGCTTCCATGCTGCACCGATACCTTTAATACAGGTAGTCCTTGACTTATGACCACAACTGAGCCCAAAAAAGCACTCAGGTTGCTTTTTATTATAATTATTTAATACAGCTGGTCATTCCTGTGGAATTTTCTTTTTTACGCTCATGGATAATGCTCATATGCTTAAGGTTAGAAGGGCCATCAGAGAGATACCATAAATGCCGGCGTACAAGGCGACCCGGCGTATAAGACGACCCCGTCTTTATAGCTGGGCCGCATCCCTAGAACGTCGTCTTATACGCCGGAAACTACCAGTATTTCCGGCGTATAAGACGACTCGCCGTATAAGACGACCCCCGTCTTTGGCGCCGATTTCAGCGCTCGCGGAAGTCGCCTTATACGCCGGCATTTACGGTACTTTTCGGATAGTCACAAAGGAGTTCAGCAGCAATGCTTAGCCTGTCTTCAATCTTCCGTGAGAATAGAGTGGAAGGGACCTTGGAGGTCTTCTAGTCCAACCCCCTGCTCTAGCAGGAGACCCTGTGCCATTTCAGACAGGTGGCCCTCCGGTCTTTTCTTAAAAACCTCTAGTGATGAAGCACCCACAGCTTCTGAAGGCAAGTGGTTAATTGTTCTCACTGTCAGGAAGTTTCTCCTCCTTAATTCCAAGTTGCTTCTCTCCTTGTTTAGTTTCCATCCATTGTTTCTTGTCTTGCCTTGGAAAACAAATTGACTCCCTCAAATACTGCAATACTGCCATCATGTCATTCCTAGTCCTTCTTTTCTCTAGATTAGCCATATCCAGCTCCTGCAACCGGTCTTCATATGTTTTAAGTCTCCAGGCCTTTAATCATCTTAGTTGCTCTTCTTTTCTGTCATTTGGAGGTAGACTGCAGCTAAGCATGGAAGTTCCATTAGTGATCACCATGCTAAGAATTGATAGTTTTGCTTACCCGGGACCATGTAGAAAGGGTAGACTAAGCAAAGGAATAAAATTATATTTTTTAAAAATAAACTCTCTTTGGATATCATGAAATCTGTACAGGCTGGGTAGATAGTTTTTTTTTTTTTCATCTCCTTTCAAACGGGTGGGAAATGTTGGCTTGAGGTTCTCCTGATCCAGTCCAGACTTCCCATATTGGGCTGCAGCTGATATTTTTTTTCAGCCCATCTACTACGTTACTTGCTTAATGTAAGCTTAGACATCCTGGCTGGGGATGATGGGAGTTGAGATCCAACTCATCTAGGTGACATTAGGTTGGGCAACCGCGTAATAAACGACATGTGCGTAGATTCTAGTAAAGGGCAAAATCAGGAATCAAACATCTTTTTGCCAGATTTTACAAAATACCTTGGAATGAAATCTGGCTTTGGAGGCAGGGGTGCAAGTGGGGTATTGTTGCAATCCTAACAATATTATCCTTATTTTGGGTTATTTGCATTTCTTAGAAGTCTGCAGGGAGTGAACTTTCTGCATGAGTGAGTTGTAAATCCCTTGTGTTGCACACGCTATCTCAGGGAGAAAGGTCATTGCTTACGGGAAGGGTGTGTATGTGTACAAACGAGCCCACAATGCTGGCTTGGGCTCTGAGGTATATCAAGATCTGTGCATCTCACACATGTGCTTGGTGCTTGTAGACAAACACACAACTCGTTTTCTCCCTTTGTTTTGTTTTCTGGCCTGCCTCAAGCCCTGCCTCTGATGTTGCAACCGTTGTGGGTGTGTATCTGTGTTCCTTCGCTAGCAGGGACTTTGTTGAAACACAAACAGGCCGTTCCAGGAAATGGAGCAGAGTTTGTTCACAAAGTCCTGTGACTAGACCGCTGGATGTATTCTTCTTATCTGGGCTGCGGCTGTTTGTGTCTGCTTCAGCACAAGCAGCACAGCAGTTCCTTCTTTGTGCAATCCTGGGTGACACCCTCTCAGCCACACTGTGTGAAGCCACACTTGCCCAAAACGCAGCTCGTCCTTGACTTGACCACAAGGGAGCCCGATAGTTCTGTTGCTAAACAGGATAGCTCTTAAGTGAGCTTTGCCCCATCTTCACAATCTTCCTTTCCGCCATTGTTAGGTGAATCACTTAACTAAAACAGTTGTAAAGTGAATCTGGCCCTCTATATTGACTTGGCTGGTCAGATGGTCACCCAAGGGCAGGGGTAAGCAACCTTGACTCTTTTATGACTGGTGGACTTCAACTCCCAGAATTCCTGAGCCAGCCACGCTGAGGGGAAAGGGAGAGGTTTCCATGCTGAGCCATGCTGGCTCAGGAATTCTGGAAGTCCACGAGTCATAAAAGGGCCAAGGTTGCCCACCCCTGGTCTAGGTTTATGCTAATCACACAGCCCAGCTCCCTCTAGGACAGGGGTAGGCAACCTTGGCTCGTGGACTTCAACTCCCAGAATTCCTGAGCCAGCATGGCTCAGCATGGAAACCTCTCCCTTTCCCCTCAGCATGGCTGGCTCAGGAATTCTGGGAGTTGAAGTCCACCAGTCATAAAAGAGCCAAGATTGCCTACCCTGGCCCAAGGGGATCAAATGATCTCTGGACACATTGCAACCGTCATAAATATGAGTCAGCGGCCAAGCATCTGAATTTTGATTACATGACCATGGGGATGCTGCAACGGTCATAAGTGCTGAAAAATCCAATATCGCTCTTAGTTTCTGCACATTCTGGCATTTTTTAAATCCTCTCTTCAAATGATCTAAGTCACTTTTTCCAACGATGTTGCAACTTTGGTCACTAAACGAATGATTATAACTTAAGGATTACCTACACGATGCAAAACCCACATTGTGCTGGATACGATGGAGGTTGGAATGAAATGCAGATCACACAGTTTAGTTTCTGTTTTCTTCTCCAGAGGCCACTGGAGTGGGCAGCTATATTAAATTAATTAAATAAGTTACAGTTAAGGGGTTCCATTTTTGAAAAATGGCGGGAGCTTCAAATTGTGAACAAGGAGTCCATGCCTTCTGACTGTAATGAAGCCTGTTCATTACAGGTATAAAGTGTCATAAAGTGGGTCACCCACTGTGACTAACCTGATATTATGACCTTTTTTTGTGTGGAGGTCATTAAGCAAACCCATGGTTAGCTGTAGGATGTTGTGGCCTAAAGCTGGAAATATGCCCATTTTCAGCAAAAAACATCGTAAATCAAAGTCTTGTGCCTGCTTTGGACACTGCAAACCGCTCTAAATGCGAGTCCGTTGCCAAGTGCCCCACTCACAGTCCTGTGTCCACGGATGGAGGGTGGCAACTGTAAGAACTTCAAAACTGGGCCTAAATAATATCTTTTCCGGGATCCACTGTAACTTCGAACGATTGCAAACCTCAACCGTCGTAAGTTGAGGACTACCTGTAGTTAGCTCAACCTATCTGGCGGGACTTTGCTTTAACAGACGATCCCAATCCAGCTGCTATGGCTTTAGCTACACTAACCTAGCTTTGAGAGATGACCCCCCCCATCCAGATGTGTGGAACTCTTAATTCCCATTGTTTTCTGCCAGCATCTGGAGAGGCATCACTTCGACTGAGTAGGCTTCCTGGGGTGATTTCCCCTTCTTGTTTGGAAAACTTGTGGGTTTGGTGGGGAAGGCAAAATTCACCACTAACTTTTTTTTCTCTTCCTTATAACTTGATTCATGAACGCTCCTTCCTCAGGAAGCTTTTGGTTACGTCAAGTCTTGTTGAAATTCTCAGAATTTTTATAACCAAAGAAAACCCCTGGCAAGTACACACAACACGCACACACTAGGTTAAAATAGGATTGGTCGCTTCTGGTCCAATGCCAGCCCCGTTATACTGGAATATTGTGTGTTTGTTTGAGTTTAGCAAGTGAGGGAACCCAGCAACTGGGTTTAAGGATCAGCAAGTTGTGTGAACCCAATTAACAGGGTATGGTGGTTATGAGGGGAAGAGAAGCATTAAAGTTGTTTTTTGGTTGTGCTAGTTCCATGGGTGACTTAAGGCTGGTTGACCTTCTTTCTGACATGCCTACCTTGCAGGCTTGTTAGGGGGAAATTGGAGTGCTATATACCTAGGCCAGGGGTAGGCAACCTTGGCTCTGTTATGACTCGTGGACTTCAACTCCCAGAATTCCTGAGCCAGCATGGCTCAGCATGGAAACTTCTCCCTTTCCCCTCAGCATGGCTGGCTCAGGAATTCTGGGAGTTGAAGTCCACGAGTCATAAAAGAGCCAAGGTTGCCTACCCCTGACCTAGGCTTTGCAAAGAAAGGCTGGATATGAAACCTAACACATGCATTTTTCTTTGAAGAATTGATAGAGAAAAAAATAAGCCCTGGAAAATACATAGTGGGACCAAAAATGATGGGCTGGCTGGCTGGGGAATTCTGGGAGTTAAAGTCCATGCAACGTAAAAATAAAACCCCGATCGGGAGAGTTTTTAATTGCTCGCAGCCTCTTTGGCAAGGGTGGCTGGTGAGTAGGGAACAGTGTCCACAAATCAGAGGCCAAGGCTGGAGCGGACCGTGTTGCCCCAGCCATGTTGCTCGTACTTTTACTTGGGATGGGTTGGGCTAGATGGCCTCTGAGTGACCCTGCGACTGTTTTCCTTTGGGGAATGCTGATGTGTATACGTGTGAGTGAGGGCCTCCATGTGTGACCCAGTTGCTGCAGCCTTGCAGCCTCTGATGTAACAGCCTTGCAATCTCTCTTCTTCCCTTTCCTTGGTGAGTCACAACTCCGACTCACCTTTCGGTGCCTCTGTGTTGCAACCTCAGAACAAAGGACGGGCTCCTGTTGAGCAGATCTCAGCCTCGGAGGAGCTTCACCCAGTGAGAGCCCAGTCCCTGCTGAAGCCCCCTCAGGGATTCCCCTCCCTCCCTTCCTCCCTCCCTTTAGCAGAGTGCTGGGCTCTGAATGGAATTGCTGTTGCCCCCGCAGGACACACAACAGAAGAGGCCGTCAGGATGAAAGAGGAGGTTGAAATCGGAACCCGGTTCATCTCCCGGCTGGTGAACCGTCACGAGAAGCTGAAGAAAGACCAAGTGGAGCGCTTCGGCGAGTGCCTGGCCAAGATACTCTGCGAGCGATTCAATGAGCATTGGTATCCAGAGAACCCGCTGAAAGGACAGGCGTATAGGTAAGCAAAGGGTGGGCTTGGCTGGCTGTGATCCGTTGCACGCCTTCGGGGCGAGCAAGCTGGTTTATCCAACCCTGGGGAAAGGAGATGGAAAGTTGAGACCTGGTAGGCAACATTGCCATGCTCTGTGCCTGATGTCTATGGAGGTTGTCCATCATCCAGGTTGTCCCAAAGGTGCTTTCCCAAAGGCAAATGGACTTTCTTGAGTCCTCCCCCCCGTTGAAAATGTTTCGCTTCTCGTTCAAGAAGCTTCCTCACCGTTCAGTCAGAACTGAAGAAGAGTCTTGGGTGAGAAGGGGAACATTTTCAGAAACCAAGAAGGGCAGTTGCCTTTTGGAAAGCACCTTTAGGACTCTGCTGCTGATGTTCTAAACCTAGATGGCTTGAAGTTGGGTGGACATCAACTCCCAGCTGACTGGGGAATTTGCATTGTTTGCAGTGCAGCTTCATGATGGGTCTCTAACATACTTTGCCTCTGGCCTGCCTAAATATTGAACGGATACAGACGAGATCCCGTGATATATATATATATATATATATATATATATATATATATATATATTTAAAGGATAGTTTAAAGCTGTGTTTTTCTTCCACCTTGGCACGCAGCTGAAAATCAAGGCGACCTGAAACTGTTTTTGTTTTGTGTTGGTTTTTTTTTTTTTTTTTTTGGAAAGAAAGCAGCAAAACAACCAGCCGCCCTTTTAACTTTTGACAACATTAGATTTACTGTACTGGCAACTTGTCAAATACAACTTTTGCTTATGGCAGAAACATTGGAAGACTCTCCCCTGCCTTGCAAATACTTTTTCTGCAATTTGCATGATGAAGTCAGGGAAACCAAAAACGTACAATGGAAGGGCCTTTTTTTAAAAAAAGGTGAACAAATCCAAATAGTAAAAGAGGGCCGATTTTGATCCGATAATATCAGCTTCCCAAGGGGTGTTAAGTCATGCGTTTTATATACTTCAGTAAAATCCTGTGTGTCCGTTTTCTCCAGAAAAGGTTGCACACCACAACGTAAAATAGGAACGCTGGTATTTGATTTGATTTGATCCTGCCTTTATTATTTTTATAAGTAACTCAAGATAAAAAATATACATAATTCTCCTCCCTCTCCTGTTTTCCCCACAGCAACAACCCTGTGAGGTGGGTTGGGCTTAGAGAGAGGGACGGGTTCAAAGTCACCCAGCTGGTTTCATCCCTAAGGCTGGAACTAGAATTCACAGTCTCCTGGTTTCTAGTGCTTTCACCACCAAACTGGCTCTCTTTATTACACTTGTGTTGAAAACACCAGAGTTATTTGGGGCCTTCAGTGAGGTTTCTCAGATGAAATGTGATTTCACGGCCTTTGTCGGTCAACAAGATTGTAGTGCGCTGAAATGGGAGGAAATGGAAGTGGTTGCTGGGTTTTTTTTCTTGTTACATTTACCCTAGTTGTGACAGGAAGATGTTGAAACTTCCGTTTAGCCAAGCAGCTGTCTTCAGAGTCTGTTTGGGCTTTTTTTTTTAAAAAAAAAAAAACCAAAAGCAGCCCCATAAGCTTCCACAAGCAGCATAGATTTTTAATAATATTTATGTCACTGCTTTCTTCCTCCAAGGCCGTTCAAGCAAAGTCTGGGATCCCCTGGCTGGCTGAGGAATTCTGGGAGTTGAAGTCCACCTGTCATAAAGTAGCCAAGGTGGAAAAACATTGTCATAATCAAGATAAGGGGTTAGATACAAAATCTTAGATGTTGGATAAGGGTGTAGTTTCACCACATTGATCAACAGATATCAATCAGAATATAGAGCTGGAAGGGAGGGACCTTGGAGGTCTTCTAGTCCAGCCTGCTGCTCAAGTGGGAGGCCCTATATCAGGGGTTCTCAATCTTGGCAACTTTAAGACTTGTGGACTTCAACTCCCAGAATTCCTCAGCCAGCAAAGCTGGCTGAGGAATTCTGGGAGTTGAAGTCCACAAGTCTTAAAGTTGCCAAGGTTGAGAACCCCTGCCCTATATCATTTCAGACAAATGGCTGTCCAGTCTCTTCTTAAAAAACGTCAAATGATGAAGCACCCACAACGTCTGAAGGTCAAGCTGTTCCACTGGTTAATTGTCCTGTTCAGGCCTGGCCTGCTTGGTTCCTTTGATCCTCTTTCTCACTGGATCTGGATTTGTGAGGGAACCCACTTTATGTTGAGAAGATACAACCTAAAGTCCATCTCCTGGATGGCTTTTTTTCTCCTGATCCATTGTCTCAGTTTAGAGAGGGGAACTCAGCCATTGGTGGGACTTCTTAGGGTTTCAGGCATCACAAAAGCGCCCTAATCTAATTCATAAAATGAATTGTCGATGAACCTGGATAACCACCACCCCCCTGGGCCTTCCCACCATAACACCATTAACAGAGTTGGAAGGGACCTTGGAGGTCTTCTAGTCCAACCCCCTGCTCAGGCAGGAAACTCTATACCATTTCAGACAGATGGCTGTCCAGTCTCTTCTTAAAAGCCTTCAGCGATGGAGCACCCACAACTTCTTCTGAATAGTCTAACCAAGATGGTGGCGATGGGGATGAATTTGGGTGGTGTGATTTCAATCCGCTTCAGGATGAGCTACGACTACATCCATCTTTCAGGGTGTCCTGTTTCCTATTATCTTAAGAAAGAAAGGCAAAGGAGATAATGAACTTATTTTTTGCTAGAAAAGGCCAGAAAGGGGGGGGGGGAGTCATAAATTATGGTTACATGACCATGGAGCTTTGCAACTGGCACCTGAAAGGCAATCATGTTGATTGTGGGTATGTGTGCAGTCGGAACTCTGGAACTGGGGTGTAAGTAACTTTGGGGGGGAGGCACAATAACATTGGATGGTCACTAAGCACTTGGTTGTAAGTCGAGGATTACCTGTGCGTGAAATGTTAAGCCTGCTTCTTGAATCATAAGTACTAGGAACTTGGATATTTTAAAAGTTCCCAGTTAAATAGGAAAAAGAAAACTGGTGGAGATTAGCCACTCATGCTCCAGGTGTGGGTACTTCCTGTTCTGCAGCACAAGCCCACTCCTCTTCTCTACCCCCCCCCCAGCCTTTTAAGTACACTATGAAGCAACAAATGAGTGTCGTCTTTTTTTTTTTAAATGCAGTCATTTGTTTGCAGAGCCAGCTGTAAAATAACTGTATTGTACATCTCAAGGCTATTTGTGTAACTGATAGGCATAGTTTGCATACTAGTTTGACTACTCGGACGATTATTAGCACGCAGGTCACACCACAATTTGTGTTTGCTGTGCCCCGCCTGGAACTTGTTGCAGCAGAGTGTTGCACAGAGTAGATAGGCTCGGCTTTCATCCACATGATTTTGTGGTGTCAGTGCCGCCCTTGAGCTTCCAAGCAATGGGGGGGGGGTTGCAGTGTTTTGATTCCAAAATGAACAGTGTGAATCAGCACCTCCTCTCTTCATTGACGTGACCCTTATTTTGAAATCCCAGCTACACACTTTAGGAGCAAGTCTTAAAAGGCAGCAAAAGTTCTCGGCTCAACAAGAACAAAAGTGGACAGCCAGATACGCCATGATAACAGTAACAACAACAACAACAATAATTAGTAGTAGTAGCAGTAGTAGCACTAGTTGTTGGAAGGGACCTTGGAGGTCATCTAGTCCAATCCCCTGCTCAGACAGGAAACCCTATACCCTTTCAGACAAATGGCTGTCCAGTCTCTTTTTAAAAATTTCCAGTATTGCAGCATTCACTGCTTCTGGAGGCAGGTTGTTCCACTGGTTAATTGTTCTCACTGTCAGGAAATTCCTCCTTAGTTCTAGGTTGTTTCTCTCCTTGATTACTTTCCATCCGGTGCTTCTTGTCCTGCCTTCAGGCCCTTTGGAGAATAGCTTGAGTCCCTCTTCTTTGTGGCAGCCCCTGAGATATTGGAACACTGCTATCATGTCCCCCCTCATCCTTTTCTTCCTTAAACTAGACATACCCAATTCCAGCAACCGTTCCTTATATGTTTTAGCCTAATCATCATTGTTGCTCTTCTCTGCACTCTTTCTAGAGTCTCAACATCTTTTTTACATGGTGATGACCAAATGTCCAGCAGGGGGATGAAAAATTAGGGGGGGGGAAGCACCTGTTCCTACAGATAGCCGTTGATTTACAACTGTTTGTTTAGTGATTGTTCAAAGTTACAATAATACTGAAAAAAATCCATCTTTGGGACAAGCATGACTGGATGACTGAGCATCTCCACAGACGCTTAGCATGGGCATTTGACACCATCTGCATCAGGATTACACAAATTTGCACAGTGGTGTCATGGCACCTGTGGTATGATTGTGGCTTTATTGGCGCCATTCTCTTCTGGAAGGGTGAATTCTTAAAAAAAAACAAAAAACAACTGAATAAAAATGAACAATGTAAAGAATGTTTTTAAAAATCAAATTGTTTTGTGATAGGTTCTTTCCTTTCAATCTACGGTTCTGTCGCAAATCCACCTTGAAACAAAACCTTTTTTGAACAACAACAACAACAACAACAGGATTGGAAGGGACCTTTGAGATCTTCTAGTCCAATCCCCTGCTCAGGCAGGAAACCCTATACCAGGGGTCTGCAACTTTGACAACTTTAAGACTTGTGGACTTGGGAGCTGCAATCCACAAGTCTTAAAGTTGTCAAGGTTGCAGACCCCTGCCTTATTACCATTTCAGACAAATGGTTGTCCTATCCCTTCTTAAAAAACTTCCAGTGTTGGAGCATTCACAACTTCTGGAGGCAGGTTGTTCCACTGGTTAATTGTTCTTTGCTTTCCTTCTTCCCAGATGCATCCGGATCAATAGGAAGCACCACATTGATGATTCCCTCCTAAAGGCGTGCACGGCCTGCGGTCTGGATTATTCAGAATTAGCGTTGCCCAGGGAAATTTCCATCTGGATTGATCCTGGGGAAGTCTGCTGCAGGTCAGCATGTTGGGCTGCATCCTGTCATTTCAATGATAGCCAAACGAACAGAATAGCAGAGTTGGAAGGGACCTTGGAGGTCTTCTAGTCCAGCCCCCTGCATAAGCAGGAAACCCTCTACCATTTCAGACAAATGACCATTGGTCATTTTAACTCTTTTTCATCTCTTGACAATCTCCAGTGATGGAGTACCCACAATTTCTGAAGGCAAGCCATTTCACTGATTGTTCTGTCTGGAAATTTCTCCTTAGTTCCAGGTTGCTTCTCTCCTTGATGATTTTCCATCCGTTGCTTCTTGTCCTGCCTTAAGCAGGAGACCCTATACCAGGGGTAGGTAACCTTGGCTCTTTTATGACTGGGGGACTTCAACTCCCAGAATTCCTGAGCCAGCCACACTGAGGGGAAAGGGAGAGATTTCCATGCTGAGCCATGCTGGAATTGTACAGCCATGCTGAAATGTATGCATTTCCTTGGGGTCGCTTTTAACTGCTTAACCCAGGGGTAGTCAACCTTGGCTCTTTTATGACTCGTGGACTTCAACTCCCAGAATTCCTGAGCCAGCATGGCTCAGCATGGAAACCTCTCCCTTTCCCCTTAGTATGGCTGGCTCAGGAATTCTGGGAGTTGAAGTCCATGAGTCATAAAAGAGGCAAGGTTGCCTACCTCTGGCCTAGGCCTAGGCCGCTTTCTGAGTCGTGGACCTCAACTCCCAGAATTCCTGAGCCAGCCACGCTGAGGGGAAAGGGAGAGGTTTCCAAGCTGAGCCATGCTGGCTCAGGAATTCTGGGAGTTGAAGTCCATCAGTCATAAAAGAGCCAAGGTTGCCTGCCCCTGCCCTATACCATTCCAGACAAGTGGCTGTCCAGTTTCTTCTTAAGAGCCTCCAGTGTTGGAGCATCCACAACTTCTGGAGGCAAGCTGTTCCCCTGGTTAATTGTTCTCATTGTCAGGAAGTTTCTCGTTAGTTCTAGGTTGCTTCTTTCCTTGATGAGTTTCCATCCGTTGCTTCTTGTCCTGCCTTCAGGTGCTTTGCAGAATAGCTTTGACCCCCCTCTTCTTTGCGGCAGGCCCTTGTGTTCCCCTCCTGGAGGCCTCAGAAAAGAGGTGGCTGGCTAGGATTTCTTCCTTCACAAGTCAACCAGCCCATCCCCAAATCTGAGCACCTGCTGAATTTAAGCCTGTTGATAATAGGACAATAGGCTGAACTTTTTCATTGGTTCTGCTCCTCCAGGCTTGGTGAGAATAACCAGTACTTCACGGTGAAGGAAGAGGAGAACACCAGCGGGAAATCAACTCCAGAGCCGGAGACGTCGGATTATCACTCAGAATCCCCCTCCGAGAATTCAGAGGATGAAAGTCTGGCCAAGTTTTCTAAGACAACAAATCTGGGCAAAACTCGGCCGGCTGGGAAAAACAGTCCCAAACAGGTGAGAGACCTCAAGGACAATGCAGGGAGGTGGGAGTTTGTTGTTGTGTTAAAAAGTGGCTCCTTTGATTTGCTTCTGCAATCTAAAAATGGGAGGCCTTGAAAGTCTTTTTTTATCTCCCAGTAACAAGACATTTTCTCCACCCTTGGTTGAATGTTCAAAGGAGCTCAGGGCAGTTTGGTTGTAATCCAGCTAAAAAGCAAAGTCCACCTCATGCTGCTGTTACAACCTCTTGTTGATAAAATGCAAATTCCTTGGAGAGAACTGAGTCGGAGGGAGGTGACTGGATTTGTGCCTCAAAGTTGGCATGTAGGCAATCTTGGGGAAAACCTGGGGAAAGCATTCTGGACAGTTGTCAAGATCACGGGCCTGCAAAAAAAAAAAACATCATACTTAACCTTTAACTCCCCTTAAATTAAGCCATATAAACAAATCTCTACAACAGTTACTATAAAATTTACTCATAAAATAAATAAATGAAGCCATGCTCCAAATTGAGATTAAAAGGGGAATATTGTTTTAGTTCAAGAGTCTCCACGCTTGGTAACATTAAGACTTTTGTGGACATGTTAGTTGGGGAATCCTGGGTGTTGAAGTCTACAGGTCTTAAAGTTGCCAAGTTTAGGGACCACTGGTTTAGCAGGAACGTGGATTTGACTTTGGCTTACCCCATGTTTACCTAGCTAGCTAGTATTTTGATAATAAATGACTGGGAAATTCCAGAGCTTTTACACTGAACTGGAAGAAACAAGTTTTGGTGGGAGTTGATGGCACTTCCACAGAAACGCTGGGAGCTGAACTCCTCACCTTGAAGCATGTTATCTTAATTATAATGCTAGGCTTGATTTGATTCAGGTTGTCTCAGTGTGCTGGGCAGGGCCCACTTGCTTCTTTGTGAGGAGATCTGATGGGTTGTGAGTTTCCAGATCTAGCTTCAGGGTCTTGCATTCTCCTCCTCTTAACTTCCTCTCTCTCTCTCTCTCTCCTTCCAGCCTACCCAGTATTTCTACGTTCCAGCTCCTCTGTGGGTCCCGTGCCCTCAAAATGTGGTCAGCTACATTCCAACCTACCAGCCATTAGCGTTCTACTATGTTGACGTTCCCTCAAAATCACCTGTGCCCAGAAAACCCAACCCAAATCTCGTGAAACGCCTTACCAAGCGGGCCTCCAAAGCATGAAGACGTGTTGGGTGGACATCTTGGTCCCTCGACATCTCAAATCCTGCCTAGAATATGGCCTTGTTTACACTGACATTGGGACGTGGGAAGAAAACAATTGTTTTATTCTCTTTCAGGTGGTTGCTAACTCTTGGCTATTCTCCTCAGGTGGGGAATCACCAAGAGTTACCCTCTTCACCTTCAGACCCCCCCCCAAGCCAAAAGATTGTGGGGGGAGGGGTGGCACTGCCTTGTTTCTATGGTGCCAAACAAGTGTAGCATTAGCATTGTATATTATTTAGCACTTCAGCATAGTAGGGATAAAACTGGAGACCTGGGTTTCTTCTATGTTGCACTCAGCAGGGGAGTGGGATCTAAGAGTTAGAGCAGAATGCGGCGGGAACGAGGATGGGAAAAGGTTTGGTTGTGGAAACTGAAAAAACAAGAGGGGAAAGAAAAACCAGGTCAACAAGCTTCTGTGCCCAGCCAACTTTGCTTAAGGTATTTTACGGCTTCTGCAAAACCTGGCTAATCGTGACTCAATTACGTGGGTGTGTCCTGTGATTTGAAAAAGCATAACCAACTATTTGCTGTTATCAGCAGGCAAGGGGATTCACTGTTGATGTTTGTTTCATATGTTGCCCCCTTCCAGTTGTTGAATCAGGGATTCTCAAAACTGCAGATCAGGAACCTGGGGGGTAGGATAGACAACCTTCTTTTGTAGGGAGGGTCAAAATCTGTGGGGTTTTTTTTTGTTTGTTAGTTTGTTTTAGCTTGATGGACTTTGCTCAAACAAAGTTGAGTTCTGATACATTGACGCCTGTCTCCTCTTTGTCTGTGGAACATTCAGCAAGCAATGGGCCAGCAAAAGTTGAGATTACAATTCGAAAACCATGATGAATAATTTTGAGAGGCAGTTTGGGTGAAGTGGTGATGAACACCAGCTGGATGACCTTGAGCCAGGCACTTTCTCTCAGCCCTAGGAAAGAGGCATTGGCAAAGCCACTGCCAAAAAAAAAGCTGCAGAGATTTCTCTGGCAGTCTCGGAGAATTGGACCAGACTCTTTGGAAAAAGAGGGGGAAAAAAAGATTAGTAATGATTTTTACAATCCATTCTAACCCCCAATAAAATCATTTGTTTTATTTATAGTGGCTTGCAGAAATTAATTTATCCATTTTTGGGTTCCTGGTACTGTCGAATTTGAGAATCCCTAGCTAATCCAGTTTCTGTTAATGATGAGACTAAAAAGATTGTATTGTGAACTCTTGTTATATATTGCTCAGCTATCCATGCCTTTGGCTTTTGAACTCTTTATTTCTACATTTCCAGATATTATGTTTGCAACTTAAGGGCTTGAAACTAAAGGGGGGGGGAGAGCTGATATTTTGAAAATAATTTTTATACCCGAAAGCAATTTCTGTCATTGCAAAGAGTGAGCAAGTTATATACAAGGCTGCAGAAATAATACTTAACCTACCTCAAGGGATGCTGTTATAAAGAGGGATGAATGGGAACAGATTACTTATTGTTATTATTATTATTTTAAATATTTGTAGCTTCTCTGGAAGGACTTGTTGATGGGCAAAGTATTATTAATGATAATTAATATATGTCTTGTAAATAACAATCAGGGACATTTTTTTTAATTTATAGAAGCAATGAAATTGTGTAAATAATATATATTATACCTGCAGCTTGTTTTTATGCACCATTGATACAATGTATTTTTTTTTGCTTTTTTAAAAAATGCTTTTTCTATAAAACTTTTTAAATGAAATATTAAAAACAAGAAAGGATGAATAATAAACAATGGATTGGACTGCCAGTTTTGTGGAGTCAATTTAGGCCAGGGGTCGGCCACCTTGGCTCTTTTATGACTTGTGGACTTCAACTCCCAGAATTCCTGAGCCAGCCATGCTGAGGGGAAGGGAGAGGTTTCCAAGCTGAGCCATGCTGGCTCAGGAATTCTGGGAGTTGAAGTCCACCAGTCATGAGGGGGCCATAGTTCCCCCACGCTGGCTCAGGAATTCTGGGAGTTGAAGTCCACCAGTGTTGAGAGAGGGCCATAGTTCCTCATGCTGGCTCAGGAATTCTGGGAGTTGAAGTCCACCAGTCATAAAAGAGCCAAGGTTGCCTACCCCTGATTTAGGCAAACCGCTGAAATGAAAAGGAAGCTCCCTTTTCAACCACATTTTGGTGCTGAAAGTCGGAGATAAGATTACAAGCGGTCCTCGGCTTACAACTGTTCATTTAGTGACCGTTTGAATCCCATGGGACTCAGAACAGTGAGTTATGGCCATTTTTCACACTCATGACCATTATTGCATCCTCATGGTCACGTGATCAAAATTCAGGTGCCTGGCAACTGACTCATATTTATGACGGTCGCAGTGTCCCGGAGTCATGTGATCCCCTTTTGCGAACTTCTGACAAGCCAAGTCAATGGGGAAGCCAGATTCACTTAACAACCGTTGTTACTAACTTAACAAATGCAACAATTCACTTAACAACTGTGGCAAGAACGATTTTAAAGCTCACCTGTCTTTTTGCTTAGCGCCATAAATTTGGGTCTCAATTGTCGTAAGGCTTGGACTATCTGTACATTTAGCAAAGAGGTGGCTGCTTTAAAAAAAAAAAAAAAACACCTTTATCTGGTTCCGCCTTGGAAAAAGCTGTATTGTTGTATTGGATTTCTGCTTCTAGTGTAGATGTAAACAAAAAATATTGCTTTAAAACTGTGTTTCTCAACCTTGACAATTTTAAGGCATGTGGACTTCAACTCCCAGAATTCCACAGCCAGCATTGCTGGCTGTGGAATTCTGGGAGTTGAAGTCCACATGCCTTAAAATTGTCAAGGTTGAGAAACACTGCTTTAAAAAAGGGAGAAAGTTTTAGCTCTTTCATTAAGTAGATATACAAGTGGTCCTTGAGTTACAACTATTGCTTTAGTGACTGTCCATAGTTAAAAAGGCCCTGGAAAAAGCAACTTATGTGACCAGACCTCTTAATTATGACCATTAAAGCATTTCCACAGTTGTCCAATCCTCCTTCAGGTGAGTTAGCAACTGACACATATTTTTGATAGTTGCAGCAGTATCCCAGGGTCATCTGATCACCATTTGCAACCTGCCCAGCTGGCTTCCAACAAGCCAAGTCAATGGGGGAAGCCAAATTCACGTTAAGGACTGTATCTGGAGATTCTCAGTCATCCAGGTGTTTTTTCAGGAGGCAACTGGACTTTCTTGTTTTTCTTTGGCAGACATTTCACTTCTCATTCAAGAAGCTTCTTCAGCTCTGACTGGATTGTGGTATTCCTGGCAGACAGCTGGCCATTTACATTCTTTTAGAGCAGGGGTCCCCAATCCCTGTTCTGTGGACCGGTACTAGGCCGCGGCATGCCAACAGCCAGACTGCACAAACAAGCAAAGCCCCATCCGCGGGGTGCAGGCAGCACACAAAACCACACCCCCTCTGGTCCGCAGAAAAAACCTCTTGTCACATAACCGGTCCCTGGTGCCCAAAAGGTTGGGGACCTCTGTTTCAGAGAGTCATTGAAGTCCAGTTGTCTCCTGAAAAAGCACCTTTGGGACACCTTAAGGATTGCATTGTTTCGCTTAGCAACTGGCCAAAAAAAAAAAACCCATAAAATTGGGCAGGGTTTTTTTAATCACCTTGCTTAACAATAAAAAGTCTGGTTCCATTGTGGCTCTCTGTATACTGAGCTAAAGAAGGAAATAAAGACAGCTAAGACTGTTAAAAAAAATAAAATAATGCCAATGCATTTCAAATACAGTCTGAAAGCTGGAGATACCCTACCTGCAATTCCACCAAAAAACCACCAGGGGAGGCTGCTTACTTCTAGCACGGGTAAGATGTTATCGCAAGGCTGATTTAAGATCCATTCAAGTCAGCATTAAATCTTTGGGGACTTCTGCTTCCATAATCCTCAGCCTCCTGAGTTAGGGCTCATGAGAGCTGATGTGCACCCCATCACCATCCCGAAGCTCCTCAAATGGTTTGGGTTGCCCCTCCTTTTTCCAAAATCCCATTTCTCAAGGCCAAGATAAATTTGGGGAATTGCATCCTGGCAGACCAAAAGTGATACGTCAAAAAAACCTAAACAAACTAGATAAGATACTGTACTTATTTTATATATGTATATAGGTGTATGTTTGGACCTTTGTTACACAACTACCATATGTGAGACTTGTGTCAAGGTATCCAGGTTCTGAAATGGGGTCAGATCACAGAATTTGAGGGTCTGGATGGAAAGTGTGGACTGCCAAAGAAGAGGAGGAGGAGGAGGAGGAAGAGGAGGAGGAGGAAGGATTTGTAAAATTGGTCCCAATGTTGCACCCATAACACGAGTGGTTCGTTTTTTCTGGCCGAACCAAATGAATAAAGCCTCTAAAACAAGGGCATCCAAACTTTAGCAGCGTTAAGACTTGTGGACTTCAACTCCCACAATTCCCCAGCCATCATCATCATCATCATCATCATTATTATTATTATATCCCCGAAGAAGGAGAGTGCAAAAGTTGGCTTGAAACTCAACATTAAGAAAACCAAAATCATGGCATCCGGCCCTCTCAATTCCTGGCAAATAGATGGGGAAGAAATGGAGGTAGTTACAGATTTTATTTTTCTGGGCTCCAAGATCACCACAGATGGGGACTGCAGCCAAGAAATTAAAAGACGCTTGCTCCTGGGGAGGAAAGCTATGGCAAATCTAGACAGCATACTAAAAAGCAGAGACATCACCTGCCAACAAAAGTACGCATAGTCAAGGCCATGGTCTTCCCAGTTGCAATGTAGGGCTGTGAAAGTTGGACCATAAGAAAGGCTGAGCGCCAAAGAATGGAGGCCTTTGAACTATGGTGCTGGAGAAGACTCCTGCGAGTCCCCTGGACTGCAAGGTGATCAAACCAGTCAGTCCTAGAGGAGATCAACCCTGACTGCTCTTTAGAAGGCCAGATCCTGAAGTTGAAACTCAAGTACTTTGGCCACCTAATAAGAAGGAAGGATTCACTGGAGAAGAGCCTAATGCTGGGAAAGATTGAGGGCAATAGAAGAATGGGATGATAGAGAATGAGGTGGCTGGATGGAGTCCCTGAAGCAGTAGGCGTGAGTTTAAATGGACTCCAGAAGATGGTAGAGGACAGGAAGGCCTGGAGGAACATTGTCCATGGGGATCGCGATGGGTCGGTCATAACTTCGCAACTAACAACAACAAAGTTGTTTTGGTAAGGTTTTTCAGAAGTGGTTTGCTGCTGCAGCCGTGCTAGAGCGGAGAGGAAGGAACCTGTCCAAGGTCACCCAGATGGATCCATGCCTAATGTGGGAGTAGAACACAAGGTTTCTCAGCTTCACACCCTGATCTCTTAGCCATAACATTAAACTGCCTCTCTCCTTTTGCTTCTTAAGAGTTAAGAAACAGTGCACTCTAGTGGTTAAGATTTTGGATCCCAGCTTGGCAGACGTGGGCCTTGAATGCCTAGCATGAATACGTATTTATTTATTTTTTAAACAAATAATCCTGAAGCACCTTAGTTAAGAGATCTCCAACCTTTCGGGAGCAGGGACCGGTTCCATAGAGAGAGGTTTTTCCGTGGACAGGATGGAGCGTGGTTTCGCATGGTGCCTGCATCCTGCAGATGGGCCTTCATTTGTTTGTTTGTGTGGCCCGGTTTCTATCATGCTGTGGACCGGTGCCGGACCATGGACCGGCGGTTGGGGACCCCTGCCTTAGTTTATGCATAAGGGAGAATTCAAGTGGAAATAAGTAAGAGTGCTCTTCCTCTTCAAAATCAGCAGGAATTCTCAAGGTGGCTCTGGGGAAATTATTTAGACCCAAGGTAGTGTACATAGTTCTCAAGTTACACCACAATCAGGGCCAGAATTTCAGTTGCTAAGCAATGTCAAGCCCCGACGGCTTGCCATAAGGACAGGGACAGGGGGAGCACGAACGTCAACTCACCGGGGCGAGAAACAGCTGAGCCGTGCACCGCCACGCCCCACCGCCGCACCGGGCGAACTCCCTCTGGGCGGACGTCTCCACGAGAAGCACGACAGACGCCAACGCCACCTGATGGAACAGCGGGAGCTCCTAAGAGCCACTTGCGGGCTAATGGGAATGTACCTCGGCGGGAGAGCGGGGGGTTGTCTCCTAGCCACCAGGATATCCGGCAGGGCGAGATTGGCGGCGGGCAACAGGGGCGCAGGTCGGACGCACGGACAGCGGGGCGTGGGGGCGGAGCTTCGTCGGGCAAAGGGACAGCACAGGGAACGGGCGTAGCATTTATCCATCTCGAACGGATGCTGGTTTGGGCTGGGGGGCGGAGCTGCAGGGTGGAGCACGCCGATATATTGCGGTGGAGGGAAATCGGCCCCAGTGCTGACTTTGTCTCACATGCTTAATAAAGAGCTTGGTGGATGTCAGCGTGTGCCGGTCTTCTTTGCCTTGCGCTGCGGACGACTTTGGATACGTTGGACATAAAGTCAGCACTCTCCTCCAACCCTCCAGTCTACGGTTCCCGCGTACGGCTACGGTATGGCGGAGGGGACTCAGGGGGCCGCCTTGGTCGAGGGGGAGGTGGCGGCCGGCGGGGTTGTGGATGCTATCCCGGCGGCGGAGCCGGTGGTGGCCCAGCCGGTAGTACGGCCGAAACTGTTACAGTCTGCAATATCGGAGCTCGATGTGGGGGAGACAGGAGCCGCTAAGCCACAGGAGGAGTGGTGGCACAGCCCGGCGGTGACTGGACTACAGCCCGAGCAGCTCCTAACACCAAAGCCGAAGCTCGGGCATTCGGGGTGGAGGGAGAGACGCGCCACGATGGAGGACGATGAAGACTGGAGCTACTCCACGGCTCCGGGCCAGGAAACCATGGATATCTTGCGCCATCGGTTTGGTGAAGCAAGTTACAAGGGCACCGCCGATATGTGGCAATCGGAAGGGGAGGCTACGGGTCGCACCCCCTCGTCTAGGTTCCGCCTGAGCAGTCCGCGGCTGCGGTTGCCTAATCCCGCAGGTGGGCCGGCCGTTATGGGACTCCCTTCGAGCGGGCCGCCGGGTCAGCCACGCCCAGCCCAGCCGGGCGGGGCCAGGAACGTGGCAGGAGGCCTGACTGCAACAGGGGGGAGGGAACGGCAGAGCTTCGCGGCCGGACATCCAAACATGGTACCAGGCCAGCCCCAGGGGCCGTGGGGGCCAGGATATCTATGGGGGGTTCCCCCTATTCCGGTTACCTTTGATGGTAACCCCGATCAATTGGCGATGTTCCTGGGACAGGCCATAAGCCACCTGGACCAGTTTGCACAGCTATATGTCTCCCAATGGGCTATGGTCGGCGCCATTACTGCCGCCTTGCGCGGGGAGGCGGCCGCGTGGGCGGCCGACTTATACAGTGACCATGCCCGGGAGTTGGGGAGTGCGGGGCTGTTTTTGGACGCTCTACATGGGCGGTTTGATGACCCCACTCGGGCACAGAGGGCCGAGGCAGACCTGCTGGCGCTCCAACAGGGGAAACGCCCGGCCGTTGAGTACGTGCGGGAGTTTCGGAAATTAGCCGGCCGGTTGCAGTCTTCTTGGCCGGAGCGGATGTTGGTACATCAATTCAGAGCAGGCCTAGACCACGACCTACGGCAAGCCTGCGTATATCGGGGTGTGCCCAACAGACTGAGAGACTGGTTCAGGGTAGTGATCGAACTTGAAGCGGGCCTGAAAGAGGTATATCGAGGGTACGGGGATGTTTCGCGGCTGCGGCGTCCCGGGGATAGGCCTCGCGAGGGCAGCCAGGACCAACAGCGGCCAACACCAAAGCCACCAGGACCGTCAGGAGCAGCCGGTTTCCGATGCTTTCGTTGTGACCAGCCGGGTCACCGCGCAGCCGACTGTCCAGCACCCAGCCCCCGTAAGGCCGCAGCAGTTGGTAGAGCCACACCACTGAAGAAGGCCACGGAGAGTTCAAGGGCGGTTGGCCAGCAGCCGACTCCAGGGGTGAAGCCAGGATCCCCGACTACGCCAATGCCCATAGCCGGGGTACGCTACCAGCCGGGGGACGAGGAGGACAGCCCTGACGAGGGAATGGCCGATCCAATGGTGAGTGATCCCATTAACCCATTCCTCCTCCCTATAGTCCTTACGAGTCCGGTGACGGGTGTACAGAAGGCGTGTCAGGCCTTGATCGACACCGGATGTACACGATGTCTGATGAGTAGGAAGGTAGCGGTGGACAGTGGGTTCCGGATATATCCATTATCACAACCCATACGGTTCGAGCAAGTGGACGGGTCATTGTTGGGGGGGGTCCCCGCGACCCATGTGATGGAACGGGTACGCATGGACCTAGGAGACCATTGGGAGGTATTACGATTCATTGTGGTGCCCATTATGACGAAGACGGTCATCTTGGGGTTGTCCTGGTTAGACAAATGGACCCCAACCATATGGTGGGAAGGGGGGTACCGTAAAGTGCGTCTCGGGGTAGGACCAACACCAGGGATCGGTGGTGACGAGGGCCAGGTTCCCAAGTACCCGGGGGTAGCGGCGCAACTCCAGGAAATGGAGAGAGAGGTAACATATCCCGAGGAATACAGGGATTTAGCGGCGGTCTTCAGCGAGGAGGAGTGTAATCACCTGCCCCCTCACCGACCGACGGATTGCGCCATAGAGCTATTGCCGGGGGTTAAGCTCCCGAAACCCCGGATGTACGCGATGACACCACCGGAGGTGCAGGAACTCCGTAGATACATCGACCAGAACCTAGCGCGAGGGTTTATTCAGCCTGCTAGGTCCCGGATAGCGGCTCCCGTCCTCTTCAAAGAAAAGAAGGATGGTTCATTACGCTTATGTGTCGACTTCCGGGGGTTGAACGCAGTATGTGTTGAGCATGTATACCCCCTGCCCCTAATGAAGGATCTATTGGCGCATTTGGGGACGGGCCGCATATTGACCAAATTAGATCTACGGGAGGCGTACTATAGAGTACGAATTAAGGCTGGCGACGAATGGAAAACGGCGTTTAACTGTCCGTTGGGCAGTTTCCAGTTTCGCGTCATGCCGTTCGGGTTACGAGGGGCCCCCGCGGTATTCATGCAGTTAATCAATCAGGTGTTGCATGAGCACCTATACCGCGGGGTACTCGTGTACCTAGATGACATTCTAATATATACCGAAACACGGGAGGAGCATGTCAGCCTAGTACGGCAAGTCTTGCAGAAGTTGCTGGAGGCCCAGCTTTATGTGAAATTATCGAAGTGCGAATTTCACCGGGAACGACTAGATTACCTGGGCTACCGCATCTCGGGGAGCGGGGTGGAAATGGATCCGGGCAAGGTGCGAGCCGTACAGGAATGGCAAGTGCCCCAGACTAGACGCCAACTGCAAAGTTTTCTCGGATTCACGAATTTTTACCGTCCGTTCATTCCATCATTTGCAACCGTGGTGCATCCTCTTACGGAACTACTGCGGACGAAACACCTCACAGCGAGGCCCCGCCCGAGCCAACGGCTAGAGTGGTCTGTGAGTTGTCAAAAAGCGTTTGAGTCACTGAAAACGTTATTTGCTAAGGAGCCCGTGTTACGCCACCCAGACCAGAGTGCCCCTTTTGTGGTCCAGGTGGACGCTAGCGATGTAGCGGTGGGGGCAGTGCTGTTGCAGAAGGATAGTGGGGGAGCGCTGCAGCCATGTGCCTATACGTCGCGTAAATTCACGACGGCCGAACGTAGCTGGACTGTCTGGGAAAAGGAGGCCTTCGCGATACGCTGGGCCCTGGCAACGTGGCGGCATTTGTTGGAAGGGGCCAAACTGCCCTTTGAGGTGTGGACAGACCATAAAAACTTGGAGGCGCTACAAACCCCGAGACGCCTGGCCCCCAAACATGTTCGATGGGCACAATACTTCAACCGGTTTAACTTCACACTGAGGTATGTGCCGGGGGGAAAGAACTTTTTGGCCGACGCATTATCGCGGATGCCGCAGTACCGTAGCAAACGGGAGGAGGTGATACAGGCCCTGGTGCCGCCTTATCGGCGTGAGACCGCTGAGACCGTAACCCACAGGTCCCAGGTAAGCGGGTTAGAGGCCATTAGGGCTGCCTTACTGTCTGATACGTGGGCGAATGAGCATTCTGAATGGTTGACTACTCGAGACGGTGTGGCATGGAAAGGGGATAGGATATACGTGCCCGAGAGCCTACGCCCCTCCGTTCTTCGAAGGTGTCACGACGCTAAACAAGCGGGCCACTTTGGGTTTTTAAAGACCCTGCACCTAGTGCGGCGGCAATTCTGGTGGCCCAAACAGAAAACGGATGTGGAACAATATGTAAAAGGGTGCCATGTGTGCGCTAGCGCGAAGCCCCGAGTAGGGAGGCCCATGGGGTTATTACAACCGGTGGCCGATCCATCCCGGCCGTGGGAAGAGATCGCCATGGATTTTATCGTAGAACTACCCGGCCATCGGGGCTACAGTGTGATATGGACCGTGATAGATCTCTTTTCCAAGCAGGCACATTTCATCCCCTGCAGAGGCTTGCCATCAGCGCGACGATTGTCTCGGTTGTTTGTTCAACACATCTATCGGCTTCACGGTGTACCTAGGAGAATAGTGTCAGATAGAGGGGTGCAATTCACTGCGAAATTCTGGAGGATGTTCGTTCGTTCGCTAGGGTCCTCACAGGCGTTGAGTTCAGCATATCACCCGAGCACCAACGGGGCGGCGGAAAGGGCAAACGCTATGGTGGAAAGGTACCTCCGAAGTTATGTGTCATTCCAGCAAACGGATTGGGTGGATTTATTGCCGTTTGCTGAAGTGGCATATAATAATACCGTCCACAGCAGTACGGGGTGTACCCCGTTTAAAATAGTGTATGGTATGGAGTTTAACCCCATGCCCGAATTGTCACCAGAGATGGCCAGCGGCCAGACCCCTCAAACATGGCAGTCCAAAATTTCAGGGTTGTGGGACCGGGTGCGGGTAGCCCGAAGGAAGGCCGAAGCTGCTGCCAAAGTCCAAGCCGACAAAAAACGGGCCGAGCATAAACCGTTCAAAGTGGGAGACTGGGTGTATTTAGCCACCAAATATCTACGTCTGCAGGTGCCATGTAAGAAGCTAGGCCCGAAATATGTAGGGCCTTTCCAGATCCTCAAAGTGGTTAACCCAGTTACAGTTCAGCTACGGCTACCCGCCTCTCTAGGCAAGGTTCACCCCGTGTTCCATAGTAGTCTACTCAAACCAACACATAGAAGTCCCTATGCTGACGGGGCACCAGGACCGATATCCGGGTCCCATTACGAGGTGCAGGAGGTCCTAGACTCACGGAAGCGATATGGTAAAACCCAATACCTCCTTCGGTGGAAGGGCTACCCATTATCAGATGCGACCTGGGTGGGAGAGGGGGACATAAAGGCACCCAACCTGATTCGGACGTTCCATCGGAAGCACCCGGATAAGCCGGGGCGGAACAAGTGTAACGTTGTGTACTCAACCCCTTTCCTTTCCTCCCCAGGGGGACGCGTGGTACAGGGGGCCGCATGTCAAGCCCCGACGGCTTGCCATAAGGACAGGGACAGGGGGAGCACGAATGTCAACTCACCGGGGCGAGAAACAGCTGAGCCGTGCACCGCCACGCCCCACCGCCGCACCGGGCGAACTCCCTCTGGGCGGACGTCTCCACGAGAAGCACGACAGACGCCAACACCACCTGATGGAACAGCGGGAGCTCCTAAGAGCCACTTGCGGGCTAATGGGAATGTACCTCGGCGGGAGAGCGGGGGGTTGTCTCCTAGCCACCAGGATATCCGGCAGGGCGAGATTGGCGGCGGGCAACAGGGGCGCAGGTCGGACGCATGGACAGCGGGGCGTGGGGGCGGAGCTTCATCGGGCAAAGGGACAGCACAGGGAACGGGCGTAGCATTTATCCATCTCGAACGGATGCTGGTTTGGGATGGGGGGCGGAGCTGCAGGGTGGAGCACGCCGATATATTGCGGTGGAGGGAAATCGGCCCCAGTGCTGACTTTGTCTCACATGCTTAATAAAGAGCTTGGTGGATGTCAGCGTGTGCCGGTCTTCTTTGCCTTGCGCTGCGGACGACTTTGGATACGTTGGACAAGCAAGGTGTAATATAATAATAATAATAATGATAATAATGATAATAATGATAATAATACTAAATAAAGACCTACAAATAGAAATAGAAAGACTGTGGCAAAGGGAAGCAAGGGTAGTACCAATAGTAATAGGTGCCTTGGGTGCAATCCCAAAACAACTGGAGCACCGCTTGAACACCGTCGGCATTGACAAATTCGCCATTAGTCAATTGCAAAAGGCGGCCTTACTAGGAACTGCTTCCATCCTTCGACGATATCTGTAATACCATCAAACATCCATATCTGCCTATCCCAGGTCCTTGGGAAGGAATTGATAGGTAGACAAAAATGCCAAATCCAGTCTGAACATCTGGCTGACTGTGCAATGATCAATAATAATAATAATAATAATAATAATAATAATAATAATAATAATAATAATAAAAGGTTTGGAGGGACTTGGAGGTCATCTAGTCCATCCCCCTGCTCAGGCAGGAACCCTACACCATTTCAGACAAATGGCTGTCCAGTCTTTTCTTAAAAACTTCCAGTGTTGGAGCATTCACCACTTCTGGAGGCAGGGTGTTCCACTAGTTATTTGTTCTCACTGTCACGAAGTTTCTTCTTATTTCTAGGTTGCTTCTCTCCTTGGTTAATTTCCATCCGTTGCTTCTTGTCCTGCCTTCTGGTGCTTTGGAGAACAGTCATACAGCATCACAGTCTGGTTTAAAAGCATCCCTGCTTCAGATAGGAAGGCGGTGCAGAGAGTGGCAAGGATGGCAGAAAAGATGATTGGCAGTTTCCCTCCCTTCCACCCAGGACATAGCACAGAAGCGTTGCTTGAGCAGGTTCCGCAGTATTGTCTAGGACAGTGGTTCTCAACCTTTTTAATGCCACGACCCCCAACCGGTCATAAGTCGAGGACTACTCAACCGGTCGTAAGTCGAGGATTACTCAATTGGTGCAGCACCATTTGCAGAATGGGACTTTTGGCGGGCTCCGCAGGGCAGAGACAGCCTGGACAATTCCTATTGGCTTTTGAAAGCCAATAGAATTAGACTCTATTCAAGAGAGTCTATTCCATTGGCTTTCAAAAGCCAATAGAATAAAAGGGAGTAGCACAGCTAAGGAAAAGGGGGAAAAAAATGGCGGACTGCGTTGTTTGGCGACCCCCGTGAAATGGTCGTTCGACCCCAAATGGGGTCCCAACCCACAGGTGGAGAACCACTGGTCTAGGACATTACAGATCCTCTTCACAACCTGTTTTCTTTGTTACCTTCTGGGAGGAAAGAGCTTTGTGCAGTAGTGAGATTCAGATAGGTGAACAACTGGTTCTCTCTGTGGATGCCACTTCCGGAAATCCATTCTGGGCCTGGGCAACCAAAAATTAGCTACTGGTTCTGCCGAAGTGATGCGAACTGGTTGAATCCCACTACTGGTTCCATGGTATCCGAAGCAGAACATCCAGATTCAATCACCATTTTGTTCCATATAATATTAACCTTATGAGCTCTAAAGCTTTCTCCTTCCGTTATGTATTCAAGATGGACAGTGATTAATATTTATATGTTACATATGGCTGTAGGTCTATACATATGTTGTATATAGCATGTTTAAATGTGTGTTATGTATGTGTACACTTTGAGAGACAACAACTAAATTTCATTTTTAATGTGTGCCGTTGTGCCCACAGTACGAAAACAAATGACAATAAAGTTTATCTAATCAAATCTAATCTAATCTCTTGACTCCCTCTTGAATCAAGCCTAATTTTACAGCCTTTTCAGCCACAGTTGTTTAATGAATCATGCAGCATTGAAACAAGCCTGGCTTCCCCCGTTGACTTTGCTTGTCAAATGGTCATTAAATGGAAGGTTATAATTTGAAGATTACCTGTTTTTCCGCAGTGTATTCCACAGTCAAAGGCCCTAAGACGGAGCGTCAGAAATACTGGGATCTTAACAGAGAAGCAATAGGAACTTTACTTTCCCTTTCTTTTTTCTTTTTATAAATATTTTATTAATTTTCTAATTTTACAATCGTGAGTACTTAATAAACAACATATCCATTGGTAATTCAGTGATACGTATTAACTTTCTCAATACTACACCATCCAGTGTTTCCTTGATCCTCTCGTCTTCCGGTGGTGTGCATTTTTCCACACTGGGCAAATATAATTCTTGTTACTGTGAATACATATACAATTAAATATAGACATCTTCATCACATTTTTCTGGTATTATACATAATATCGATAGTGTCAGTTTATAATTTCTAGCCAGAACATATCTCAATTGCATTTGCACTTAAAATTCAATCCATATCCTGTTTTTCCCACTTTTTAAAATTTTTAATTTCCCATCAAGGTTCAAAATCTCTCTATTGCTTATAATTTTCTCATAATAAATTATATTTGGGTAACCAAAAGCTTCCCTTAATCTTTTAGAATTTTCATATTTCATATTTCCTATCTCATAATGAAGTATAATATTCTAGTTACAAATCCTATCCTTCTAATTATAATAATACTTTTATTTCTAACAGTTATCCATTTTCTTAACCATATTCAAACATCTGTTTAATAGTATAATATGCCATCTAATAGGTTAAAACTTTCCCTTTCTTTTGTAAAGCATTAACTTTATATTGTCTTTTTTGTTTCTTCCCAGCAATTGAAATCCAAGAGTATTCTTTAGCTTCTCAGCATGGGGGATGTGTTTGGCTAATCACTGGAGCCTCCCAAAAATCTTTTTAAACTTTGTTTTCATCATTACCACAATTAGGGAGGTTAGCTTGCAGCAAAGAATCCTGGATTAACGTTTCATGCACTTTCTCTTGGGATTGCCCTGGTCTGATTGCTTATCAAGTTTATTCCTCCCCCCCAGAGAATAAATATTGTGGCCCATCTAACAAAGCAAAGCAACTCTACAATGCTCAAGATATGATCTTCAGTTTTGACATTAGGACAAAACAACAAGGTGGGAATGGATACAAGGCCAGGACGTTCGTTCTCCTTTAGGTTTAACCAGATCAAGGGGACAATCACCACTTAATTGCAGAGATGTACCAGTTTGAACTCATCAAATTACTGCATTAGAAGCCCTTCTGTTTTGCCACAATTTGGAATTATGTTATCTGGAAAGTCATCCTTAGAGGACAGTTTGCATGCTCAGGTGTAATTTGCAGAGTGAAAAGAGCTTATCCTGTTCTTTGGAAAGTTCAAGGTAAAAAAAAAATAGATTTGTGAGCTTTGTCGCTGCACTCTTCTAACTGTATCATCCACGAGTCCTATGGCTTAAATTTTGAGCAGAACAATAGCTCTGGAAAAGGTTAATGATTCTGTTGTGTCCTGGGCCGGATGAGGCAGTTTAGCAGGCCCAGAAATGTTGCAAATGGTCCCGGGCAAACCAAAAGCTGCCTAGGACCAGACTGGTTGGCACCGGCCTTGCGCGCAGGCGCAAGGCGCGAACAAAGGAGATTTATGATAGGCTGTTTGGGAAACTATAACAGGCCTGCGAGCCTATTGGTTACTGAGTGGTAACGTGGATCAAATAAAGAAGAACTTGGTTACAACGTGAGTGTGTGTGTGACGCTTCAATGCCACGAACCCCAAGACATAAAAGATTCCTAATTGGATTCTTTGCTCTCAACTGCATCCTGAAATCATTCTTGCTTTTACAAAATTCAGGAGCACTTTTTCTCTCCTCTGCTACAAATCTAAAGACCGAAGAAATTGTCCTAAAAGATTTTTATTATAGTGCAAACCAGATCCATGCCCAGAAGGTTAAGAGGTACTGCCGTCAGTCCAAACATCAAATATTCATATTTTCTTTTGCTCATCTTTCTATATGGCTGCAATGCACAGGGGTAAGATTAGAAATGCTCTCATCTAAAATCTAGCCAGGTAGATTCACACATTGTGGTCAGTAAAAATGGGGTTGGATTCATTCAGGGTTAGTGTGTTATGGGAATCCAGCCACTGTGACATGTAGAGGGTGGATTATAGTTTACTGTTTTATGTAAACTCAGTAATGCTGGCTTCTCTAACCCGTGATTAAAGCAAACTGTGGCTTGATGAAGCAGAGGAACTAAGCCAACAGAAAGCAGCTTTGCAGTTTTCCAGATTTGCTTCAGGTAGGACAAAAGGCTCATTTCCCCTGGAAAATAATTTAAAGATGAGATCAACGCTGCTACATAAAAAAGATAAAAACCTTCTACGACACATGCAATGTGCAAAATGACATTGACTTAATGCCGGTTTTCCTGTGAGTTAGAAAGAAGGACACCCTGATCCCAAAGCGTTTATTCCGAAATGGGAGAAGCTCAAAGTGCAGCAGTGAAATTATTAAACCACAATTCATTCTGCCTGCGTGCAGAAACTGGATAATGGGTTTTAATCACAGGGTGAGCTTTGGGGGGGGGGGGCATCGGAATGGTTACCTTTGCTGCTGATGGGATGACTTCTCTCTCTGTTGTTCTATTAACGTGGCAGTCCTCAACTTACGGCCACAGTTGGGATTGGAAAATTCATCGTTAAGCATTGTAGTTGTTAAGAGAGGCATTGAGTGACTGCACCCAAATTTTCACCTACTTTACTGTGGTTGTTAAGTGAGATATCACATGTTCGTGGCTTATGATCTTCCCTGCTGGCTTCCCCATTGAGTTTGCTTGTTGGAAGTTCAGGGGTAAGGTCACAATTTGTGATCACATGACACTCGGGACATTGCAACCATCATAAATACATGCCGGTTACTAAGAGCCCAAATTTTGATTGCATGACCGTGTGGGTCATGCAGAAGGCCACCTGAAGAGACTAGAAGCATTTGAAATGTGGATTTATAGGTGGCTGTTACGTAGAAGCTGGGTTGACAAGATCAGAAATGAGGAGGTGATAAGCCGCCTGGGAAAGCCAAGGGAAATCATCAAAACAATTAAAAAATGAAAATTAGAATATTTCGGACATGTGATGCGACGCCCAGAAAAATACGGCATGCTCCATTTAATCCTCCAGGGAAAGATGGAAGGCAAACGAGGTCCAGGCAGAAGAAGAACATCGTGGCTTCAAAAATCTAAGGGGCTGGTTTGGACAAAACTCAGCAGCACTTTTTCGTGCGGCTGCTGATACAAACAGGATCGCCAATATGATCGCCAACATCCGATAACGGATATGGCACAAGAAGAAGAAGAAGACCGTGTGGGATGCTGCAAGGCTCGTAAGTGTAAAGACTGGTCATAAGTCATTTTTTTCAACACTGTCGTAGCTTTGGTTGTTAAACAAAAATAAGTCGGCGACTGCCTGCAAATCACAAATGCTTGCAATCTCTCAGAGTTTACTTGCAGATCAAGGTCATAAAACCAGGATGGAAATTCTGATCTAATCTTGCTGCAAGTCAACAGCCAAACTCTGCATGTCAAGCACAAAATTTGCAAACTGTAAGTAAAAGATGTGTATCTCTAACGTGCTTTACTAAATGTTTGGGGGGCTTTTTAGCAGAGAGCAAACACGCTTCAAAGGTGCATGGATCCAAAGACTGGCTTCCTTTTTACTGGAACAGCATCAGGAAAGTGGAGCCAAAATTAAACTGGCATGATTTGACTTGCACTTGTGGGGCAAGGAAAAACTCAGGTTTTAGGCAATAGACCGGAAATCTGGACAGACATTAGTTCTTCTTTTTAACTTTTTGTTTCCTTTGGGGCCAAATATAACAACATGCATTGGTAGGTTAGCCATTTTTCAAAGAATTATTTGCAAGGCTGGCCTCAATCTTGTTTTTCTTTGGGTTTCTCTGGGCTCTGCAAATGTTGGCAGGTTTAAGATCAGCCTTGGAGAAGGCTTCCCCCGGGACATGGATCACCAGCTTGTTTCCCAGCTTTTTTGTTTCATTTCTGCAGTTTTACCAGCAGGCCACTTGCAGAATTAAAGGCAACCCTTGGACAGGATGATGGTGGTTCTTGATAGATATTTATGGTGAGCGTGTCTCTCACCCTCTGATTGGTCATAAAAAGATCAGCTTTCTTTCTACCTTCCAAGATGAAGAAATGAAAATGCAACAGAGAGAAAAGGGACAAGTGGTAGATCCTTGTAAAAAAAAATGAACTTTTTGAATTCCTCTGTTAATATGGAATTCAAGCCGAAATACATTTTATATTTTCTTAAATTCTAAAATTCCCAGGAATGGAGAATTTAACCATGGCATAACAAGATGCTATTTGTTTGTTTGTTTGTTTTGATTGATTGATTTTGATTAGCTGATTGTTATCCCGCCTTTCTTGTTTTATAAAGTAAGTCAAGGCAGCAAACATACCTAATACTCCTTCTTCCTAATTTTCCCACAACAACAAGCCTGTGAGGTGGGTTGGGATAAGAGAGAGTGACTGGCTCAAGATTACCCAGCTGTCTTTCATGCCTAAGGCGGGACTAGAACTCACCATCTCCTGGTGATTGGTCTAGAGCAGGGGTAGGCAACCTTGGCTCTTTTATGACTTGTGGACTTCAATTCCCAGAATTCCTGAGCCAGTCAGGAATTCTGGGAGTTGAAGTCCACGAGTCATAAAAGAGCCAAGGTTGCCTACCCCTGCTCTAGAGTCACCCAGACATCTTTCATGCCTAAGGCGGGATTGGAACTCACTGTCTCCTGGTGATTGGCCCAAAGTCACCCAGATGTCTTTCATGCCCAAGGTAAGACTTGAACTCACCCATCTCCTGGTGATTGACCCAAAGTCACCCAGATGTCTTTCATGCCCAAGGCAGCACTAGAACTCACCATCTCACAGTTCCTAGACTGGTGCCTTATCCACGACAAGACCAAACTGGCTCCACATTGTCCATTAGGTCATGAAAAATGATATGATTTGTAACGACAACAAATAAATATGTAAATAACAGATCCAGATTTTCATCCTTGTGTTCTAAATGTTCTTCGCTATTTCAA